CAAAGAGTATTTAATATTACTTGTCGTTTTATTTAATATCAAGCGAAGAGAACGCGATAAACCAGAGGGCGTCGTATCGTTCGCGGCTGGGTAAGGGGCGACCCCAACTTGCTCTGAACGCGACGTCTTGATCCCGGATTCACATCACATTGACTTGCTAATGTACCCCCTCGCAGACACTCCTCGGCTCCCCCTCCATTTTATTGAATTTCCCCCAAATTGAGATAACTATTTATCAGGTATAAATGAAAGAACGACAAGGATTCGCGTAATGTTAACTCGTTTCTTAAAAAACAATTGTATTTTATAATGTATTTTGAGTATTATATTGTAAGCCTGTTTTTTTTTTAATTAATTTAGATATCTTGTTATGTATAAAATAATATCAAAGTAGAAATAAAATATTGTGGATTATGGACTAATTATTAATTGTAACACCATTTTTATACTGTACCTACATTTTAAAATAAAACACTCGAACGGTTTAAAACGCGATATATTAGTTAAACTTATTTGGAAATGATTTTTAACTTTGGCCCGACGTTTCGGATGCTCCCCGTGACCACGGCTGCTGCAAAGCATCCGAAAATCATTTCCAAATAAGTTTTACGAATATATCGCGTTTTAAACCGTTAAAGGGTTTTATTTAAATGTGTACTACTCGCGTAAACTAAAGACAGTATGTACCTACATTTTATAACATTCTAAGTTCGATTTTTTCGTATAACGTTAAGTAATTTGCCTGTAAATCATTCCCTTAAGAACAGGAAAAGTCGATAAAATTTGGAGACAAAAATAGAAGTATATTTTTTTATATTCTTTGTTTATGACACGGTGAATTCAAAGTTTTTATGCGTTTTTATGGGAGGAGCAATGACTAACCAATCGAATCAGGAATCGAATAAAAAAATATAAATATTGTTATAATTTATGATACATGTGGCGTTGAGCTTTGTGGTTTGAATGTTAAATTAATTTCCTGATAGAGGACAAACATTATGTTCATTTTGATTAAAAGTTACTGACTCACTATAACCTCACATCACATAGAGTACAAAAATATAGCGTGTTTAAAACATATATTTTGTCATTGAAAATATAACATTTAGCGTAATATGCTAGTTACGATCTTTATCTATTTAATCTATTAAACCCAAGTAATTATAATACGGTTCAAAACTATATTAATAAAATTTATTTAGTTCGTTATAAAATAGTTCTAGTCAACTAAGCTAAGACATCACCAGCCATTTAGTACGAAAATAATGGAAGCTTTGAAAACTTACCGGGATACATTTTAACATATTATACTAGCTGATCCTGCAAACTTTGTTTTGTTGCAAGATTCATCTTATTATGTTTATACAACTCTAACAAATAATGCATTGATTTCAATAAAAAATTGATTATGGTAATCACATTTGAAAAACGGGTCTTGCGAGTAGGTAATTCTTAAATGACGGCCATACGCCTCACTACGGTCGTAGACCATTTTTAGATAATTTAAAGGTAAGGTAAAGCATACTTCGTTCATACATATTATTTATAGATTACAACGGAACCTCTTAAAGATGTTATTTTTTCCGATTTTAATATTTTCACCGTTTCTTCGCTCCATATAGCCGATAAAAGTTTAACGAAGAAAAATAATTTTTCAATTGAAACAAACAAACTTTTCAATTTTATATTATTAGTAAAGATATATATACTCGGACATTTTGATATATATATATAGTGTCAGTAGGGCATCATTATCCATCATCAATGGAGTAGTTTCAGCGTTTGAGTAGCATATCTGGCTACTAAAATCCTAATTCTCCCAGCTTAGCTATAGTCGGGTCAATCAAAACACAATCAAATGAACAGTTATTTTTTCACAGGTGACCCATCACAGTGCTCTCCCACGACTCATGAAGTTCATCTGGCGCCAACGGCATGCCGAAATACCTAAGACGGATGGTCATATATCCGGAACTGCATGAGTCAGGTTTCCTAGTAAATATTGACTCACTTCCGCACTGATCAGCGTAACTAAACGCTCTAAATACTGTCTATAGTTTACGCGAGTCGTACACATTTAAAAACTGAATAAAAATCATTTTAACGGGTTAAAACACGAAATATTTCATTTTGTTTATGTATATTCCGCATGCAGCAGACGAAGTCGGGACGCGAGGTGTTATTTAATGGAAACGAAATTAAAAATGGCGCCGTTAATATTTTAATAATAAAGTCCAAGAAGTAAATGACAGAGGCGCCCGTTGGGTTAATTATAGGAATGTATGGCTTATAGTCCGTTGATTACCTGAACCGTTGGCGTTAGTTCGATTCCCACAAAGTCCCACATGTTTTAAAACAATTAATGATTTATCTGAAATAGGACGTTGGATTTCATCTGGAAATCACCATCCAAATCCAAACCCAAAATATTAATAGTTATATGGCTGGGGTAAACCATTAAGTAAACATGAGGTTGACATGGGCTTGTTTGTTCTCCATTTCCATAAAATAAAAAATGTAACTCATACCACACTTTAATTTTAACTTTAATAATTACGGTTTAACTCAATTTTATAACTTAACGTACGTAAGGTTATCGGTAACATACGGATTAAAACAAAACCCTTAGGGTGTGAGTACACTCATTTACGACACGTGGCAGATGACAGATCTACAAACGTATTATCATAATCGTGGCCTAAATCCCTAAAGATAAGTATGGGGCGCTGCTTATTCAAATGGCATAGACAATAAATATTTTTTCGGTCATTCGATACAGGGTGAAATGGCTATTATATGTGTTTATGATAGAGAAGAGACGAGCATGATGAGGGATCACTCGATGGTAGGGATTAGGTGATACCCCAGTCTGCATATCTCAGCAAGACGCGCAATCGACTTAGTTCAGCGTTGAATATATAAAGAGCATCTTAGTTAGCGTTTTAAATTGTTGTTTTAACCAAAGCCAAAATAGATCGCATCCTACTTAGATGTTTTATAGCTGGGGTTTTCACCTCCCATCAAGGGAACCCCATGCTAATCTGTCCTCCTCTATAATAAAAAAATCTTTGCTTTAACCAATCGTTAATACCTCCGTCTTTCTTCTCTGTAATCAAAGCAGAAAGACACAGTTACATTGCATAAGAATCAGAAGGAAAATGGGAATGCATCGTTGGTCACTCTATAAATTTTTAATTCTTTATTTTTTTTAATAAATTAAAGAATTTTTTTTGCCAGTCTGTCGCGATTCTTCAGGCAACGTGACCGAAAAGAACATACAGCCTTTTTCAACGTGTTTTATAAACTAATATATTTTTGTGAATTTATTAACCTATCAATTCATATCACTGCCAGGCCTTGGTTATCACCACTATTTTATGTAGATAAAAGCCTAATTCTCACTAAAACAGCATGGTGGGTTATGCTCAAATCGGTAGCGGGACATTTGTTGAATGACGAAATCATAGGAAATACGTAAGGAATTTTTGGCACGCGACTGTACGACGTGTACAATTTATAATTCATCGTTATTTTAATACCAGCACCATTCAATTGGTATTAAGACAGCGATCGAGCTAAACGATAATTTTATACGATTTCAATCTTCCCATCTACTTCACGAGGTCCGTAATAGTCACTGATCTAGTTATAGATTTCTGGACGATTGTATTCCTCGGGTTCTCTAAATAAATGATAGTAAGAGAGACAGTTCTGTAGGGATTCCCGTCTCATTTTTCTTTAAGTCAATGAGATTTTTTAATATTTATTAATTTTAAAGTCACTAACAACATTCAATTAAACCGAATTTTTGTTCGCCTTAACAAATAAAATTTATACATATTATTTAGATATCGCTTTTTATTCCTAAACTGAGATATAGAACATTAATTATTATCATATATGTATACCATTAAATGAATTCATTGTGTAGTAATATATGATTATATATCTATGGTACATAAGCTACGGATAGCGTTAAAAACTATTTTAAACACTGTAATGTATGCGAGTAGTACACATTTTAATACAACACTTTAACGAGTTAAAACACGAAAAATATTTCGCGTATTATTTAAAAATATATTATATGAGTTAACTATTTATAACGGACTTCAAAATCAGTAGGTTCTCAGTTCAGTTTGTAAATGCCTATTTTTTACTTGATAGTTCATAATTATAAAATATTTACTGAACCACTTTTTTAATAAATTAATATTTTTGTTTTTACTTAACTATTTGATGTCGGTTTTTTCTTCTAATAATATTTAACTAAAAGTTCACGTAGATAAAGTTTAGGTAAACTTGCGTCAGAGTTTAAACAAATGTTACCCAAGCAAGAAACCGGCGTGTTGTAATTTTTTAACTATGCCTTGGAGAAAATTGACGGCGCTTCCGCAATTATTTCAAAGAAAACCTGACTCAGCGCGTGAGATGAATGGATCGCGATCATTTGATGAAAAAAGTGATTCATGGAGATCCCATTCATAGTCATTTGGCGCGAACGCCGTAACTTCTTATTATTGTACTAGATGGCGTTGTTATCAATTTTAAATATATATAACCTAATTCAGCAATAAAATGTTTCTCACTATATTATTTTACTTTATATTGTAATTTATTTGGAAAATATTTTATGGTCGGAGGGCCTTAACTCCTCTAAATCTTAACTATTATACATTTCGCAATTTTTTGTAATAAAATCCTAACTTGCATACTAATGCTAGAAGGATTTATTTCAATAAAAGAGTGAACTAAATCTAAGTAAAATTTAAAATATTATACTTTTAATATTTTACAAGTAATAGACAGAGATGTAATATTAAAATAGCGGGAAAACAAAAAAAATGTTGCTAGATGTCTATCAATGGCCTCAGATAACCCTGTATGTACCTCTGTATATAAAATGTTAATACAGAAAAACTATTTTTCCTACCTATCTATATACTATACTAGTTCTCCTGATAAACTGGTACTGTCATAACTATATCCTATGAACTTACATGTCTGTGTTGTTGGTGTGGAAGTGGAAGCCTGGTGTTCCGGCAGAGGTGGTGGTGGAGGTTGACCCTTTGCCGTGGCGTGGGTATGCCGCATGTATGCGTGGAAGATACGAGCAGCCTCACCGCTTCCTTCACACACCTGAAAAAGTAACTAGTTAAATAGAAAACTAGTTTAATAGCCCGAACAAAAAAATTTTTAAGAAGCCCACCAAAGCTTTTGTCGATTTTTCTAAACATTTAGGATCACGAGCCACCATTCCCAGATAAAAGGTCACGTTTCGGTTGCTGTCTCTAAATATTACCTAATTGCCGAAATTATTGAATTATTTTTTTAAGTGATCACTATTTCATTTTATGCATCTAAGTTAAAGTAAACTCTAAGCTGTCTATTATTTAAATACTTTCTGTAGTTTTCGCGAGTAGTACACATTTAAATAAAACACTTAAACGGTTTAAAACGTAGAATATATTAGTTAAGCTAATTTAAGAATTATTTTAACTACAGCCCGACGTTTCGGGTGCTTTACAGCAGCCGTTGTCACGGTGACTAATATATTTCGGGTTTTAAACCGTTAAAATGTTTTGCAAATTGAAATGTCTGTTATCTTCTGTCAATTGCTGTTAAGTGAGTACCATGACACTACCGCCAAATAGTAATGTGGTAAAGATATTACGAGTCGCATTACATCTTTAGACACGTGTCAAAGTAATTGTATTTCATAGAATCTTATAATTTAGGTATCCTATCGTACTTGCAGCCAGTTATCTTCAGTAAGGCATAGAAGGGCTGGACCGGAAGCTGGTAGCAGGTGCTTCCGGGGCGCTCGCAGGCTGAACGTGCGGGCAACCCAACGAACGCAACGCAAGACATCTCTTCGCGTCCAAGTCTCCGGATCTAGAATGAAAGATAATAGTATGACAGAGTATTATTTAGTATAAATACTTAACTTATTTTCAATACTAAAAGAATTGTCTTCCTTTGAAATTATCTCCTAATGTAATTTGTAATAGCCTATTTTTAATTGTTATATATGCGTGTCCAATTAATGTAATTGGCTGACGTTTTAATTGCAGTAAATAAATAAATTAATTAATTAATTAAATAAGAGGTCTGGAGAACTGTTATTAATTTAATTAATTAAATAACAAGAATAAAGGTTACGAATACGTCCGTCGGCAAAATAAAGATATTGTTCTGGGTTCAAACAGATATTTGAGTTGTTAAGAACTAATTTTATTAGTTTAGAACCAGTGTTTGTTATCTAAAATAATAATTACATTTGATTATTCATAAAATTTAGTAGTGTGCACAAAATTATAAAATTTGATATGAATAGCAATTTCAGTAAATTTTCTGTAAAGCTCAAATGATAAATGTTACATAATTTAACTAATGACATAAGTATATAAAATTGATGACAATTTTTTTTAATACGATATAAGGGTATATGGTAGCAATACTGTTGATTGCAAGTCAAACTACGAATCTTAAGCAATTGTTTTTGAAGTGAAATTTTTTGTAGCGGCGTTGTGCACTTTTCTGTAATAGAAGTTAAATATTTATCTCGCGTCAACACACAAGAACACAATATCTGGCCAAAAATTATTAAGTCGGAGAGAGTGGAGATTGTAATATAAATAGTCATGTTTATGTACGATAGTGTAATAAAAGAATATTGTATTACCACATATAGCATAGTATATTTATACTGATAATTATCAAAATAATAAAAATGCACAAAGTTAATATTTAAGTTTTTACTTGCGCCAGTGCCAAAATGCCTTTTTGGATGTTTTGAAATTATGTTTAAGTAGCGGTATATATGTATCTGAAGTAGATGGAATATATAGTAAGAAAGAACATACATTTTAATTATTTTTAAGTACGTGAACCGCGAAGAAAAACTTAATCAGTTTTCACGATTATCATTAATTTATCTATGAATCTACATGAAACACAGTTCCTATAAGAATATGTCTTCCGACGGAAAGCAGAACTTAATATTTTTTTGCCTAAAACTAAACTCAAACCATTTATTTCACAAACAAAAAGTATGAAAAATAAATATTTGGATAATTGGATACAATTGTCATTTTTACTATCTTATTCGTTTTACTATTTATTCATTAAATCACATAATTTTCATGTTTAATTTATTTAAAATATAGATTTAAATTCTAAACAAACACATGCCAAGCTTAGCGAAAAATTACTAGTTTATATGAAATTTTGGTATCATCGGAATGAGGGTTATGGAATTATATATTATATATTAACAAGAATCTTATTTGTTAATTTAGGCAATAATGAAAATTGCATTAAAGTAGCTTATTATTATTATTATATAAATCTTCGTTTCGTTTCTAGTCTGTAAAGTTATGAATATCAATGCCAAAATAGGTCGACAACGCACTAGAATTAAATGTGATAGGGCTGGGGTATTTTAACTTCCATCAATGAACACCAAACTAGTCCGTCCGTTAATAAATTGGTTTAATTCTCATTAAATAAGCGAAGTTTATAATCTATGGTTATGTGCTTATTAGGTAATTACCGGCCGGAACAGTTTCATCCCCGGAGTCGGATTCGGTGTCCGAGGGAGGCAAAGGGTGGGACTCCATACAAGCATTGCGGGGCGCCAGGGTGCCACACGGTTTACACAAATCAAGATAAATTACACAGAGTATATTACTTTTCGTTTTAAAAAAAATACTGGCACATTACACTGATGTTCATGTTTTAAAAAGAAAACGACTAATTCACGTAAAACTTTTCACCTCACTATTTCTATTTGTGTGTCTTATATTTTAATAAGATTTCGTCTTATAAATATGGTTCTGGGACTACCTCTGCGCGTGGTAGTGGTGCTGGTGGTACTAGGGACCGCCGCGCGAATCCAGCGCTGTTTTTATTCACCCACGCGTCATGTGTGACGTTGCGCCGGCCGATTATTCACTCGGTGACGAGGAAAACGCATTCTCGGAAGCTCTGTGCACGATTTTTTACTATAGCTTCAGTAAAAGCTCAATTAGTATGACTCAATTATTTTATATAGTACGCGAAGTATTCCCTATTCTGCTAAATTAAAAATACTAAAGTTTAGTTTTGTTTGTTTGTTCCTTTTTTTTGCCCTAACGAAATTACATATTTTCAAATCAATATTTAAATAGAACACTTTAACGGTTTAATTCTATTTAAATGTAAGCTATAAAAAGTATTTAATTCATCAATATATTAATTCGTCACATGTCTGTGTTATCGGACATTCTGGTAAGATATTAACAAATACAGTAGTAATTATTGCAATAAGTATTATACTCCCGCGAAACGGGCGTAAGATTTGTTAGTCGGTTAAAATTAGCAAATTACGTTTTCACGTATTCTGGTTTATCCGAATTGTATCACTATAAAATAATATTTAATTACTTTATTAATAGTATGTTTGTTCCTTATAAATATTAGTCACAAAATGCACATACGTCTTCAAAATATGTATGTAAAATTTTATTGCGTAAAACATTTGAAATATGTATGCATTATTTTTTTTATTAGGGAAATAATTTAAACAACATACTTTCTTAATCAATGATATAACGATGAAAATATCATGTAAAATTAGAGATATTAATTAAATTAGATCGTAATTACATAGATTTAAGTCATAAACGTAAAAAAAGTGCGAATAAAGGCTTTTCTTAATTTATTTTAATTTCTTAATGAACTAATTTAACTTTTTTAAATATTGCCTTCATAGTTGTATTAGTTTTTTTATATGAATTTTAATTATTAAATTAAACAATATTCGAAAATTAACACCTACTTTTAATATTAAATACAACGAAATACATACATATCACCGAATGGTAACCAAAAGAAGGTAAAAGAAGAAAGGGAAGACCATTCAAAAGGTGGGACGACGACTTAAACAAGATAGCGAGACTGAAATGGAAAAGACTCTCAAAAGACAAAGAATCTTGGAAGTCTTTAGGGGAGGCCTATGCCGAAAGGCAAGTTATTAGCAATTGAGAAGACCAATGAAGTGTAGTTATTAAGGAAACTTGTATACTTATTTACAATAAAGGCTTATTTTATTTTTATTTACAACCGAATAAAAATAAGATTATACATTTTATGTATATAAGTATAACATATATACATATTTCAAATCATTGTTCATAGCTGAGGTGTCCGAGTGGTTAAGGAGTTGGACTTGAAATCCAATGGGTTCTACCCGCGCAGGTTCGAATCCTGTCCTCAGCGGAGAATATCTTTTTATTTTTTATTTGACAACAAATACAAGCAAAAATATTACAGTCGAATTACTTTTCGTTGCTAGTTTTGAACTTTAAATTTTTTTTTACATATGTAATATTTTTTAAATTATTGATTACTTACTGTTCATAACGTTATTGGTTTACAAAATTATTTTACATTATCATGTACATATTCCTTTATTTGTATAAATTTTAGTCATAATTAGGTAAATAACTCTTATTAAATTTAGTTATATTGACCCAGTCTATTAACTAAATATTAAATAATATAACATTTATGAATAAAGTTTATTTTTGGTATTTCGAAATTTATTACATTACGGGTAGTAGGTACTAGCCTGTGCAAATGAGAAGAAAAACAGTGCTTGGGGAAATCCATAGAGGTCTTTGGTTTTATTTTCTTTACGAACAAAGTTCAATGGCCCACTGGCGGACAAGAAGTATATTCGGATTTTAAAGGATCTTAAGAAATTCTACGCCTATTAAAAATTAAAAGCAAAGTGTATATCGTGATTATTTTATCAAATTAAATATGCTTGGCGTTGTGTTGAGGACTTACGGATTTTAATTATTTTTTATCTTCTTATGGGTTTTAAAATAGTAATACCGTGCGAGCAGCGTGAGGGTTGCCCAGTGGAAATTGATATATTTATATTTATCAGTATTTATCTTTTAAATACAACACTTTAGCCGTGGTCTACGGCTGCTGCAAGGCATCCGAAACGTCGGGCCGAAGTTAAAAATCATTTTCAAATAAGTTTAACTAATATATCGCCTTTTAAACTGTTAAAGTGTTTTATTTAAATGTGTACTACTCGCGTAAACTATAGACAGTATCTAGTATTTATCTTATTACTTAAACGTATCCCACAAAAGCGTAGATAAAAGCTTTTTACGGCATTTTTATTGTATTATTCTAATTATGTGGTATTACTGTTACAGCCACAGAGTACAAATATATCTTTAGTAAGTCTGTTTGTACCAGTATTTAGTCTGTGGTTGTAGGTATATACTAAATAGTAAATACGGTATACGTTGTATACGTCATTTGTCAAGTTCTTATTTGTTTTAGGCGATATTTTTTTAAAGTAAAAAATAGAATGCAATTGATTTAATAAAATCACTATTTATGAATTTCCAAACGTTACCTCTCTAACGATGTTTTCACCCTAGATGAAAAATAGTTTAATTGCTTTAACTCCGGGTAAAATGGTTATATACGGTGTTTATATTGTAAGTAAATCGGGTGGACTTATATATAATTACGATCACAACATTCCCCGCATAGAGACTGAAAAAACTTTTGGTTTCCCTTTGGACATAAAGTTGCAGTACGAAAATAAAAAAGTAGTTGTTGTTTTTGGCCAGAGGGACGGTATTAATGGTAATTGATAAACATTAGTAACATTCAGTATTATTTCAAATGTAATAATTAATTTAAAACTTTTAGTTGGCCATGTTCTTCTCACTGTGAATGGTTCTCCTGTGACAGGGAGGACAACAGAAGACGGTAGAGATGTATTTGATATTATTGAAGCTAAGGTAACTGATATATTTCTAGTGAATGTTCTCTACGTGAATTAAATTGTTATACTAATTTTTATAAGGTTTTTACAGCTAGTAATTAAAGTTATTCATAATTATTTCTCTATTTTGTCGCTCAAACATTCTTTTACCTTTGCAAAATGGCCACCAGAGTTTAACTATACTTCTTTTCAGGAAAGTTATCCATTAAGCCTAAAATTTGGGCGTATGAGGGCAACAACCAATGAGAAGATAGTGTTAGCTAGTATGTTTTATCCCTTATTTGCACTTGCTAGTCAGCTCAGCCCAGTACCCAAAAGCTCTGGAATAGAGACACTCACAGCTGACACATTTAAGTTATCATGCTTTCAAACTTTAACAGGTAAAAATAATATCCTTTTACAATACTATATACATCTCTTGGCTTCAGTAGTTTTATAGTTTAGCTTGTTGCCTACCTGACCTGGATACATACTAAATTGTTTCAACTGAATGAGCTTTAAAAGCCTACTAACCTACCTGTAACTAAAATTGATCTTTGTAAATGAAACCAAAATATGCCCTTTCTATGCCACATTTGTAAATGTGACTAAACCTTTTTCCTCATGGGTTAATACTTTAACATTCAAAAATGTATTTGTTAAACTTGTTTACAAACTATTTTTAACTACTTGTCTCTCAGTGACCACGGCTGCTGCAAAGCATCTGAAATGTTAATATGTTTTATTTAAATGTGTACTACTCGCATATACTACAGACAGTGTTTATCATGTTCCTGAATATTATTAACCTATCCTTTTATCAACTTTCAGGTGTAAAATTCATCCTAGTAACCGACCCTAATATGCAAGGAACTGAAGTTGTCTTGAAGAGAATATATGAGCTGTATTCCGATTATGCACTTAAGAATCCATTCTACTCCTTGGAAATGCCCATAAGATGTGAACTGTTTGATACATCCCTTCATACGCTATTGGAGCTGGTTGAGAAGTCAGGGACTGCTAATTTATAGATAGATATGAGATAGGACAATAATTTAAATAAAACAATTTATTTAAATAAAACTTAATTGTAAGTTTTATTTAAATAAATTCAAACCATACTGTTAAATGTAAGTGAATGTTATGTATATGGTATTTACCAAGTTTATTATAACCTAAGGGTATAAGTACATACTTCTTTTTGTTATATAATGTTTATTTATCCTGTAAAAAATGTTTAAACTAATATTAGTGTTTGATTCACTTGGGTTTGGATTTGAACACTGGGTGAAACAAAACATACTTCTTTATTTCAAATACCAGATGGGACATTGGAATTGACATTATTATTATTTTTTATCGGGGACACCCTTGGCAGGACAGGTGATCAGTCCACGTTGTCCGCTGACCATTTCACCTATTTTCTCCTTGCAGAGATTTGGGTCATCCAACTCTTCCAGTGTCCCCTTCAAACCTTCTGGTTTGTTTGCAGAATCTTGGCATTGACATACTTCACATAAATTTTTAACAAATCTAGTTTTCTACACAACATCATTGTCTCGAGTTTTATTTGGAATGTGTGTTAATGTTAAATTGTAAAAACTTGGGTTGAATAATAAAACAGGTTTATGTTAATAAAAATTTACTGATATATTTATTATTTATAACAATTTGAAGAGGGTCATCGCCCACACACCACCGTTATAATTATTGTTATCGTTAACGATGTCAACTAAGACCAATCATGCTTTGTACTTCTACACACATACATTATTGCTTGCTTAAACGCCAACTGAGCTACACAAATGTCCTAGCTGAAGTTCTGAGACATTATTCTTAAATGTTCATCAGAAGCGACTTTTGTTGCATATAGAATGGTTTTTTTAGCAGCTTCAGTCTAGCGAAGAGATGATGCGGGTATTTTTACATGAGGAGGTTAGACAAGCCTTGGGTACACTCGATGAAAGATGAAATACCCCAACCATATAACATCTGAACAATGCGTTGTCGACCTATTTTTTCCTTCGACATTCGATACGTATGACTCATTTAACTGACTATTCAGCTTCTTTGCAATTGGCTAGACGGCCTAAGTCATGATAGATACATACATTAATATCTTTAGACCAACCAATGAAGAATTTCATAGATTTTTTTTATTATATTTTAGGGGGTAAACTGCCTTGCGGGCATAGTGAATTTTAAATGTTATTACACAAAACCCCGCACCACCATCGTAATTAGCAAAGACCCTAGTAAAATCTACACGATTTGATTGAACCCTGTTCGTGAATTAAAATGGTGAAATCAAATTCGCGTATCGCCGTTTCAGTAACTAAAACAATCTCTGCAGAGATTCCGTGGTCGGTATAAAAATAGTGTCCTTCTACATGTTACTTCTGTCTATAATTACGTCTTAAGTATATAATTATTACATAACAGCAAAGGATAAAGGAAGGATTCTTAATTTTAATGATATAAGGCATGTTAGCATTTTGTTACCATCGACCATAGAAGGTTTTCACCGAGAAATTCGCGCCACAGAGATAGATTCCTATTATAATCTGTGCAGTTTTACATATGACATAATGACATATCGTAATTATTTTAGTTCCTTTAATCAAATACAATCTAATCCACAATAATTTATCGCTACTCGTAATATAGATTAGGGTAACAGACCCATAATTAAAATTCATTTGCCGAATTACAGTCTTTATAATATTAAGTCTAATTTATATTTTAACGTCACACCCTTTTAAAATTAATTAAATCTAATTATAATTACGCATTGCGCAACACGCAGCAACGATTGCTAGAAATAAAATGTCAACTTGAAAAAGCACTTAACGGTTTTAAACGTGAACAGTTAATTTATTTTTCACTGCGTAACACTAGTTCCCGCGTAAAGTACAGACAAAACTAAGAATGTCTTCGTAATGAAATGTGGATTCGGTTGCTGCGTGAATGCGTTCCCTTACCCTTTGCATTGAACGCAAAACTAAGTGCATGTTGACCATGTCTACCCTCTTTTTAATACATTTTGTTATTGGACAAACAAAAAATTTTATGTAATGGTCGAGATATTAAAAGCAATGAAATCGCCAGCAAATTTAAATACATACATTTCGTTGTAAATAAAACAATAAAAAATATCATAATTCATAATCAACCTTTTGTAACCGTAGGCTTTATAAATGACTTATTAAAAACTGTTTTATCGGAGTGTTTTAAGCTGTAATACAAGGTGCTGTCGGGCACGTGCATCGCGCACTCTCCCTGCTTTAAATCAAGTGAAATTTCGACTAGATTGTTCAAAAATATAAATGAAACTTTAACAAAACAGACAATTTGAGAAAATTGTGGCGGTAGTTTGAATGTTGTTTTTGTAAACATTAAAACTACCGCCTTAACTCATTTAAATCAACAATAATATGTAATGCAATAAATTTTATTTTTATGGCAATATTGGAAATGAAATTCGTTAATAAATGTTCAATTTTAGCCCGATACACTGACACCTGCAAGCTATATAATAAGCGGCAAAACTATTGCAATATACATAATATTTATCGTTGTATTTACGACACACAAGTTACTTTCAACAATTATTGTATTTCTTGAATTGTGACATTTTTTGTTATACCTTTAACAGATTTACTTTCACGATATTTATCTCGAAGCGTACAATATGTAAACGCAATCATATGCCGACCCAAGTATATTGCACCAACTGAGTTATTTCGACGGATCACTGACCCTGCCACTTACCTTCACAACCATGGAAATAAGTCGCTTTATATTTTAATTCTTAAGCTTATAAGGGAGCACAATAGTTTTTAAATTAAAATTTTCTGATTTTGAATTTGAAGTTATCATAGCTTTGTAGCTAGCAGAAAGCGTTTGAGAGAAATTATAACTGCTATGCTAGCTTTCATGGCCATGAGAGAAGAGGTTCTCGGCGTTTCGCCATCACGAGCGGACGGCATCGTCAGGAGATGTTAGCTTTGTTTTGATAACTTTTCGAGCAACCGAGGAGCTAACATCTCCCGATGGAAACCTCTTCTCGCTCACGTCGGCGGACCAGCCCGAAACAATATGACATTCACTATATTTGCTGTTGATTTGAGGTATTTAGGGAGAAGAGTATTTCAATATTCTATACAGCAATGTGTCTTGTGACATAACCGTGGTTGCTGGCAGTGGGTCAATGGGACGGGTACAATCACGCGCGCGGGTCCCTCGGACCCCACAGTCGCAGCGAATAGTCATCCGAGGCGGAGACCAGCACATCGTGGTGTACGGGATTCCAAGCGACGGCGTTCACGCAACGGGTGTGGCCTGGCAGAACCGCGATCGGTTCCTCGCGTTCTAACTGCCAGATGTACACCTGGACGAAATAAATGAATTTACATTATATTTCTATAGTCTATTTTTCCTACAATATAAACGAGGAAGCCCCACGGCTACTATTAGGCAACTTAAAAATTCGCCATTGTTTTAACTTATTCTCTTTAACGTTAAATAAAACCAAATTTATTTTAATAAGGTAAGTGTGAGAAATGGTTTTTATTAACCCTTCATCAGAACCGAACATAAATTTGTGTAAACAAAAAAACGGGCAAAGTAGACACTGACAAAAAATACCTAATATTTGAAAACTTTTTACAAAAAGACCGAATATCTGATTCTTCCCGTGAACTTGACTGCTGCATAAGCTATCCGAAACATCGGGCCGTAGTCACAAATAATTTTCAAATAAGTTTACTAAATATCGCGTTTTACATCGTTAAAGTGTTTTATTTTAATTTAAACTTTACTTATATTTCTTTGGTATGGGTACTAAGGAATAAAGAATTTGTTATATAAATAAACTTGTGATATTCAAAAGCTTATATTATGTCAAAGATTTGTGTTATTAGTCATGGTGACTATAACTAAAATGCACAAATAGTTTGGAAAGTATACCTTGTTGTCTTCACTGCCGGACGCTATAAAGTCCTGATGTGCTCCTCCGAAGCAAGCATGAATCGTAAAATGACCTTGAGACAGGCCACGGAACCTCCGTACTAAGGCGCGGGCACCTGTAAAACACAAACATTTTTATCTATATACTAAAAGCTATGGACTACAAATCTAGGTATCATTGAATATCATTGTGCAACTGTTACTTATATCAAGATTATAGATTCATGGAAATCTAATATAATGTCTCTTTAAGCTGGGCGCTAGGAAGTTTAAGTTCAGTGAACGAATGTATCTACAGGCAAGATGATCGAACTTCAATGGTCATCTAGACCATTGCAACTTTGGATACACTTGGAAGAAATATTTGGTTCATTTTAGAATTTATAACAAGAAACTGTCGTCACAACAGATATTTAACATTCAACTTCGGACTAATCAGAAGTCCCATGAGTCTAGCAAACCAAGTATCTATATAATGGGTAAATGCTCTTTATATCCAAAACCAGGTCTTACGAACGTGAAATTGGACACTATAGCAGAAGTTGAGACAAAGGACCTGAAGATGGAACGGACATAAATTTTTGTACATTAACGGGAACATTCGATGGAGCATAGTGAGAGATAGATAACCCGAAATCCCCTACCATCAGGGTTTTGGGAAATGGGTGAACTCATCTATTATAAAGTATGGATTGAATACCCGGCCTTCGAACATACCGCGTCTAATGAATTGTTGAGCTTTACAGCTGGGCATTACATTAAATAGATTCGTATTAAATAATCTAATAATGTAAACAAATGTAAATTAAAAATCTATTCCAGATTGAAGAAAGCCGACACGGCATCCACAGCGTTCCCGTGTCAAAGAACGTACTTTATGACACATAGAAGGCAACTCTAGCATAATATTATTATTCTACTCACGAACGTCCCACAGGTGAACGCCTTGGTTAGCCACGTTGAGCAATAGCAGCGTATCTGCTGCATTCAAGGACATCGCCATTACGGCGTGCTCCTCTTGAATGCTGCAAATGATAAAATTAAATTTAATGTACGGATAATAGAAGAGAACTAAACTTGACGCACTCGTTGGTCTAATGGTAGCCATGTACGTCTAGTAATCAACGGTTTATGGTTTCGATCCCCACCAGGTCCAATTCAGAGACCTATTGGACTTCGCCTGGAAATCTGGATATTAAATGGGTGGTAGGAATATCGAAATTCTGTCCGGGTCAGCCACCACCACAGACGAAAAAACCCGTGAAGATTAATCACGCTCCACTTTCCGAATATACAAAACCAAAATAGGTCAATAGCGCACCTTGTTGAGATGGTATATGGCTAGGGTGTATCACATACCATCAAATAAACTCCATGTTGCTACCATAAAACCTGACATTTTGTTCACCCCAGCCAAGGAACCAATAATGGTACTAAAACAATGTCATATGTCATCCAACAACAGTGGGAACAATCAATGGGCGGTTAACGACGAGTGGTACTCACAGGTTCCTGTCGGTGAGATCTGTGAAGTCGTACTGACGCACGCGGTGATGAGTATCCGCCGCCAGAACTGCGCCGTCCGCGCGACACGCAAGCGCGTTGACACGAACACCATCCCAATTGTTTATTAACGAACCCTAATAATAAACAAGTAAATATATTAAACTAATTAAATAAAACACTTTAACGGTTTAAAACACGATATATTAGTTAAACTTATTTGCAAATGAAAAGCATCCGAAACGTCGGGCCGCATAATATATTATATTGGGGAGGTTGTTTGAAAAACTATATAATATGATGCCCCAAATAACTACTCCACGCAGAGGAAGACTCGGGCTCAGCTAGTAAAAAAAACTCGTTTGAAAATTTAATATTTTTTACATGTTATTATGGAATGAATATATAGATTAAAAATGGATTTTAAATTGAAAGCAACACGTCCGTGTCGTAACAAAGCACATAGCAGTCAGGAGATTATCTTTCCTCAACTAAGTGGGGAGTCTGATTACCAGCCCCACCATAAACAGCAAAATGACAAAACACAATTTGGTAGTTTATATAAAGGTACGTTACATCAAGAGTACAGTGGTAGAACTGTCCGCGTGCGCCGCCGCAGACGAACTTGTCGGACGACGCGTGCCAAGCGACTGCCGTCAACGAGTCTTCTTGGGAGTGTGTCATCTTCAAGTGAAGTTGTTCAGTCTAAACAGAAATAAGCTCTGATAATAATCATACGTATATCAATCATCCTTACTAATATTATAAATACGAAAGTAACTCTGTCTGTCTGTTACTCTTTCACGCCAAAACTACTGAACGGATTTGAATGAAATTTGATACACATATAGTCTAGACTTTGACAAAGAACATAGGCTACTACTTTTATTGCGAAAAGGGGGTTGCTAGGGGTTAAAAGGGGGGATGAAAAGTTGTATGGAAATCGTGGTTTTCGAAGATAGAACAGTGAAACTTTCTTCTTCGACTTTTTGGGAATAGGAGTGGGAGTGGAAGTGGGAGAAGGCGTGGGAGTGGGAGTGGAAGTTAGAGTAGAAGTGATGTGAGCAGAGAGTGTTGCGGCAAGTAGCACTTACAACATAGATTGGCTGCATAGATCGCCCTTACATAAATTAATAAACAGCCTAAATAATTAAAAGTCTACCCCAAGTCACTATTCCACGCGAACAAAGTCGCGGGCACAGCTAGTAGTTTTATATATCTCTAGTAAATCTAACCCCTTCCGACAGGCTAAACCCAAAAGTCTCTTTCCACAATGTCTTTACCGGCCTCGTCGGTGTAAGCATTGTAAAGCTGACAACGAGTCGTGGGTCTAACATTTTGTCATCAAGTTTGGTTTCTCTCTTACTTATTTAAATTGAACACTTTAACGGTTTAAAACACGATTTATTAGTTAAACTTATTGGAAAATGATTTTTAACTTCGGCCCGACGTTTCGTCTCCCTGTGACCATGGCTGCTGCAAAGAATCCCAAACGTCGGGCCTAAGTTAAAAATCATTTTCAGATAATTTTAACTAATATATCGCGTTTTAAACCGATAAAGTGTTCTATTTAAATGTGAACTACTCGCGTAAACTATAGACAGTATTCTCTCATACTTGCTGTGTATACTTTTACGAAGTACTTTTGATTTTTGTTTATTATTCCTTACGCCTACCCACTTAATGAGCCTTTTTTTTATTTCTTTTCTCCTGTACATCATGTTACCTGGAAGAGATCGCTGCCTAGCAATAGGGCCGCCTTTTATTTGTATCGTGTTGTTTTTTTTTTATCGTTAGTATGTGTATAAATAATACACTGTAATAAATAAATAATCAATTTATAATTTTTCTGAAACATGTTGGAAATCTGGATAAATATCGAAATTCCGTCCAAAACCAACCGTTTACAGATTGCTTGTACCTACACTTCTATGGAGTAGTTTTTTTTGTAGGGAAAAGCAGCTGGTTACACTCCATATATACTTTTATTTTGTTATAATTGTGTTGTGTAATAAAGAGATAAATTAACATAAGTTATTAATGACTGGCATAATCATTGTGATAATTAAATGTAATTAAGAACTACTTAGACACAATAGCATCGACTTAATACAAAAAAATAAATACTTAGATTCATTCCATTGGTGTGTTGAAAAGTGGACCTCGTAGTTTATGAAATTTATTCACGTTATAATGATTCGCACGTAGAAGTGAAATCCTAACTCCCTATCAGGGCATGGTGCGGATATATTATATGTCTATTTTTATGACGTATTATGTGGTGGTAGCAATACGTGTAACACAATTTTTTTATGATTTTTTAACTTTGTAGCACCAATAAAACTTAGTGACGCTCCGTAAAACCGAACATATACCTAATAGGCGTAAAAAAACACACAGACCCATGTGATGTTACGTCACCTACAATTTCCGAGACACAAAATTCTACCAGTTAAAGGGTTTGTACCTCCATGTTCCATATCCATAGATCAGGACAGTCTTCTGGGCCAGCAGCGATCAGGTAACGACCATCAGGACTCCATGCCAAATATGATACACCATATAGATGGCCTTCAAGCGACTTTCTGTAAGAATAATTATAATTGCTTATATTTTAATTTAAAAATCGAAAATAAATTGAACAATTTTTCGACTCGGGCAGGACTTGAACCGGCATCGTCAGCGTTGCGTGCTGTTGCTCTACCAATTGAGCTACCGAGTCCTACACCTCATAGTCGAACTATTTTTCAATTTATTGATGCATGCACCTCTCGCGCAATGTAATTTCAAATTGAAAATTTCTTCAATTTATTTTCGGTCCTTAAATTAAATAGTGCCGTTCATGTGCAATAACATGTAAAACATAATAAAATTTTCAAACGCTTACATTTTGTTGCTCAATGGATTTTTGGATTGTTTTGAATGTGCTATGTTTAGCATCAAAACTATTGTGCATTTACTTACATATCCATATGATTCAACAACGAACATAGAATTTCTGATTACCTGAATGAGAGTCTCTTGGCCACTGGATCAAAATCCCATATCATAACTGTATGGTCTTTGGAGCCTGATGCCAACTTGGAACCGTCTGGAGACCATTTGCAGTACCACACCTCATCACAGTGCTCATTCAACACCTAAACAAAGATCTTTTCTTTTGAATCTATATAAATGCAAAACCCAAAAAATTACAAACCAACCATTGACATATCAATTACATTTTAAATAAATAAAGTTTTAATTAGCAGCTATTAAAATAAAAATGCTCTTAACATAAGAGGGGTTTTAAGTTGTACAAATAATGACTGTTTTCCAATTACATTGATTTTATGAATTTTTATCACTTTGGCATGTATTCAAAGACAAAAGTGCATATCATTGCCCGCTTAGTTAAAATGTATACCTGTAGTGAGTGAATAGGAAACTGGTCAGCAGAACACTGATGATCAGCCAAGAGCGAAAATGGGATTTGTTCACTGTTCTGTTCTGGAGATGGCTTCTGTGCAGCATGAAAGCGGCACCGTTGCGCCTGATATGCAGCCGCCTGCGCCAGGAGGGACCTAAGCCTCCCTGGAGCCATCATCAGAGCTGGTGGTAAAACTGCTTGAACGCGGGCAAGTACTGCTGCTCGGGATGCTGCCCCGCCGGCCCACTGAGCCCGAGTTCGAAGCTCCTCTGCATCTGCGCACATCATGAGCGCGGAAAGGCGATGCACACGAGGAGTGTCATGCTGCAGTGGTGTCAGCTCGTTACGCAGCACATGCAGGGCGTCAAGAACACGACCAGCTTCTAGGTGCTCCAAGTACTTTTGCTCTAGCACTACAAACTTCATTTCCTATGCAATAGAAAGATTAGTTCGGTTTGTATTGCCTAATTAATGTAAGTAGTTATTAAATCTAAGTTATAGAACCATATTCTCATCTATTATTCTATGAAAATTTTATTAAATTAGCTGTGCGAGCGGCTTCGAACGCGTAAAATAGTAATTTTGGACATCAAAATTCTGTTTTTGCAAATCTTTATAAATCATAGCTGTTACCCAAAAAATAAAAATTTCTTCATTAAATGCTCTAGCACAACGCAAAAATGATTTTTCAATTCAAACCAGTAGTTCCTAAGATTAGCGCATTCAAATAAAAAAACAAGCAAACAAACTCATCAGCTTTATCATATTTTTTATATCTAAATGGGTACTCACAGACAAATTATGAGGGTCTCGATGCGGCGAGTCACGCAACAAGTCGTGCAGTGCGCGAAGATCGTGATCGGCCTTTACCCAGTCCCCTGCCAGCACATGTTGCCGGAAAGTGGCTGCTGCCGGGTGCTCCAAATGCAGACCTGATTCCTCCATGAGGAGGGCGGCACTGCGCCTATTAATTCAAACATAATTAAAACAACAAATTTATTGTCATTACAAAAAAACTACTGTTGTCTTAGAAGTTGCATTATAGTTAAAATGTTTATCAAATAGTACATTTCTGAGGCACAACTTTGGGAATCGAGGACAGAAGTCCTAGATATCTACGAGACTATGTATCTGTTTATCTAAATTAAATTATACACAATTTTATTTAATATTGCTATACATAACTTATTTAAAATTTACAAGTCATGCAATGAACATACATTTTCCAACATTTTCTTTTCAAACAATGTTGTTTCCAATTGTAATAATTATTGTGATAACATGATTTTTAAAACCTCGATATGTGAATAAAGATAATAAATCCATAATAGACAGAAGAACAAGAATTAAATCATGATATAACTTGGTAGGCCCACAATCACCTTGACTGGAAATTATGCGTAAATTTAGTGATAACATGTGACACTGATTACTAATTTACATTATTTTTAATCTATATGTTTAAAAACAAACAGACATATAAAACAAATAAATGTATGTATTACAACTACACCAACATTACAAACATTATTGTTGCCTATTTTCCTTTGTGTACATTTGTAAATATGATTATTCATACAGGTTTTAAATAAACAATATAATCCTATGATTTATTCATCCCAGAACCTAAATAATAGATTTACCAAAATCTTAATTAATCTTTAACATCATGATATAGAAAATTATTTTTTCAATCTCTTCAAGATACTATTGAAAATATAACAAAGGAAAATTGCAAGGAGTGTGAAGCACAAATGCAATTACTCACTCAAGTCCAACAGAGAGCAGGTGCTGCCCGATGAGGCGGACAATCTCCTGGTCGGTGGTGGGCATCCGCAATCCTGGTGCCAGGTCTCCATTGCGCACGGCGTCACCATTCAGGTGCGCCCCGTTCGTGCACGGCTGGTGCATGGTCGGACGCGGCGACTGCCTCCGCGACCGCTTGCGCGGTGGCCTTAGGCCCTCTTCACCCGAGTCACTGGAGGCCAGGCTGGCTGCGCGAGCTCGCCGCGCGCCTCCGGTCACGATCCTCGCAGCATCGGCCTCGTCCGCGCGTGACGTCACGCCCGCTGCTCTTCGCCCGCGTTCAATTGACCATATCTCTTTGTTCTTTGCGAACACTTTACGATTGTTCAATCCGCGACCTCCTTCGGGAGTATTATTGTCTTAATTACTTATAACACCGTTGCGATTCACTTTCTAGAGTGATCTATTTTTAGGAAACCTAAGGGCCGATGACTATTTTAAAGCGTACACAAAAATCAGCTGAAAATGAAACGACAGCTGTCTACTTGTTAACATCGACCTTCTTTTCGTATGTTTTCGTAATTGTTATACGTAGAACGAAGCTAATAGAAATGCCCACAGACTTTCTAGAGATGCTACAATATTATTTATCAGTGATGTGAACAATTGGACTCTATGGTTATTGTATATGTTATTATATGTTAAGCATTGACTGATAATGACAGCGTGATGACAGCTGAATAAAGACTACATTCCAAGTCCTGAGATTATTTTTTATACTTCTTTAAAAAATTTACTTGGAGAAATATTAAACTGTCTACTAACATATTATGCAGTTACACTTGCATACCAGTCGTGATAATTCTAATTAAACGATGTTTACGTTATAGCATTTTTAATAAACGCTAAGCAAACAAAAATGCATTTTTGTGTGACACTTATTTTAATAGTTTCGCTAGGCGTACAGCCTTCTAACTTACAATTGCTAATTAACGTTAGGAATCAGGCAAGTAAAGAAACAAATTAATATTTTTACATAGTACAGATGTACTGAAATTGTATTTCTAAACTTCTCTTTTCTATTCTTTAGGGTGGAGATGTTATGCAGGAGAATATAACTGCCAGCGTATCGGAGGATACGGTCACTCTGGAATTTCTACGATTAGATGGTGTCTATGTGTCACAACTGGTTGACTTTACTAATGTATGAAAATTAAAAAGAAAACTACTACAGTACTAGATAAATAAACTTATGTGCCTACAGCTTTCCTAAAAATAGAAACAATTTGTTGTAGGAAGTTGAAGCAATGAAGGTGATAATACCGGGAGAAGAAGAGCTCGGACAATTAGGCTACCAAACTATCTGTTTTATAACCCATGCCGCTCAAGCTGATTTTATTGCACCTGATGCAATGGCAAAATTGAGACAAGTAAGATTGCTTTTGCTTATCCTAAAAAATACTAGTAGCATTATGTAGTTGATATCCTAAATAAAAAAAAGCCAAAGATATTGCACTCTAAAACACTAATTTGCCTTAACCACAGTAAGAGTGGTACTTAACATACAATAAAATTTTAAGAAAAATCCTGGAACAGTTCGCGTAGCTGAAGAAGACAAAGGATGGCGACAAACTACAGCCACAGCATGGGCAAGTCGGGCTACTCGTTTATTGTCAGTTGCTGCTGCAAAACACTGTGCACCTGCAAAGGATAGAGTATATTTACGAGCTGCTGATCTGACGAGATGGGCTCCTAGACCTGGTAAAGCACCATCTGCTTATTATAATTAGGATATGTCATGACGATGACTAATGTTGGTACATATTATTTTCAAAAAATAAAAGATATAATTATGTTTTCAAACGGGGGGACATAGAGAAAACACATTTCTTTATATGACCAATGATTAATTTTATTTATGAACATGTTCAGGCTGTACTGTCCTCCACCTTTCTGTTTCCAAGGATGTACTAACATAACTTATTAAATAAGTATCATTTACCACACAGGCATGGAACATTCATCCATTGCATCAGAGATAAATCCATTTCCCCCACATGTACTTGCAGCAGACTCTTCTGATGGTTCACAACCTGTCAGAGCTTGTGTAGCCGAGACTGATTCAGCTAATGAATGTATATGCCATTTTGAGGTAGGTTCTAATTATAAAAAATTAATATATATTATTTTAATAATATACTTTATTACTTAGTCTTTAAGTCAATCTACCAATAGTAAGGTAACCCTGAGAACCATCTAAGTGATTTCTCACAAAAACCTTAATATAAACACATGATGATTTCTAATTCTCTTAGAGGAATATTGCAAAATTTTTATTTAATTCATACTATTTGCTGACTATTTCTTTTATAAATGATTGTTATATTGCTTTAACAGTTAAGATAGTATTTTTAAAACTAAATATTTGCCTATCAGTAAGATTTTATTTGAATTAGATATTTTATTACACCTTATATTAGCCCTAGGTTTCATTAAAAATCTTAAATATTATTTACAGGTTTGTGTAAACTGGTATCCCTGTGGACTGAAATACTGTAAGGGCAAACCTCAAGGAGGCCTGAGCTATAGATGTGGAATAAAGACATGTCACCGATGCTATAGGTACCATTACTATGTGCGACGGCGTGACACCTGTCTTACATATATGTGACCCCACGCACGTCCTCCTTCAATGAACCTGCTCTGTTATGGACAGACCCTTGTTCTAGTCACTATTTTAGCTTCCATATGAACAATGACTTGATATGACAATACTTTTGTAAATACTTTACTAGGTGCTATATGTAAGAAAAAACTATTTGTATGTTTTTATTGCTGTATAACATTTGTTCACAAAAATTATACTTTTCAATAAAGATCTTTTGGTTTATTATTTTTCACATTATCTCACTTTATAAGTGTAAAACAAAAGTACAAAAGTAACACCATAGAAATATTTATTCTAAAATTTAAACTAAGATATTTTACAACATACTACATTTAATAACATCCAGGGAATGGTTCATGCCTATTCTTGCGAAGAACAAACTGGATTTTCCTGTCCATATCTTCATTATATATTGCTTTGCATTTCTGGTGATTCACTCTCCGTCTTGTCTGTAAAATATAACACAACTATATCATCTTTTTTTATAACACAACGAGAATTATTAAAAATTAATTGCAAATACCTGAAACGGTTTTTCATAATATCTTGTGAGTCTGAATTGTTCTAAAATTCCCTCTTTTCCCAGAATTCTATTAAGTAATCTGCAAGCATCGTCTACATTGTTGTTTTTTACAAAAACGGTGCGTGCAATAAAAGAGGGGTGACGATTCCCTAATAGTTTTAATGTTAGAAACATTATTGTGTAATTAAGTTGAAAGCTCCAAGTAAAGGAGTTCAATAAATATTTAAAATCTTGGTTAAAACTATAAGGTTATTTGTTTTTAACAATACAGTGTTGCCAGTTATTGTTTTAAGATTTCCTAAAAATATGTTTTAAAATTCCATTCCATAATTACAAAAGTACATTAAAAGGAAGAACAGGGCAAAACAGCAAAAAGTGTTAGATTTTGTTTTGTATAACGAATTTTCGTTATTTGTATACATTTTCTAAAAGTAGCATAACCAAATCCGTGACAATATTATGTTCAAACTTATGGTTAATCCTCCCATAGACAAATGATATTAGCAGATTCATGCAGAATGGAAAAGATATCAGACTAAGAAGAAGAAAAACTCTTTAATGACACTGACATTTTCCATAGAGTATAATAGTCATCATGACAAACAAATTTTTTCCCTGTAAACGATGTAGACAAATACTACGTTCACAGATGTTAGAGACATTTTTGATGTGAAGTTTAAAGTTTTTCTGTCGAGTGAAATTGTATAACTTATATGAATTAAATATTTAATATACATTTATAGAAGATTATTTATACTCGTTCTTCTTGGTTAAAAGTAATTACGGACGTAATGGCAAACGATGTAGATGTAAAATCTATCATGTCAATATCTTCGAAGTCTGAAGGAAGCACAGCGCCCCTAACAAGAACAAAATTAAGAAATGCACCCCTTCACGAAAGATGTTCTATTTCTGACATGGTTAAAATCAAAGAGGCTTTTCAAGAGGCTTATAGAAACAAAATGTTGCCCAATGAATTTAGAAACTTACTACGAACATTACTTAACGTGGAGTACGATGATGACGAATTTAAAATATTGTTTTTGAAAGTATGATTTCCGTTACTTTAGGGAATGCGCTTTGAATTTCTGTATTAACCAATGATAACTTTAGATAAATACGTCACGGGAAGGCGAAATAGATTGGGACGAGCTTGTATCCCATCTACTTTTGGGCTATTTCTTGAATGACCCGGAAAATCAACGCGCGTCGTTGCAGCTACCTATTATGGGACTACCCACAATAATGCGGTCCCAACATAGACATCCCATATCACGAATTTGCTTTTGCCCAGATGTCGCTAAGGTCTGTTTCGTAATAATAAATGAACGATACTATCGGTTTAAATATCTATCCATAACTTTTCTGAACAGGATCGCAGTACGGATAATTTGACAGGAAATTATATAACGGCCAGTCGTGATGGTATGATTAATTGGTGGTCACTCGACATGACGCTCTTACGGACAGCTTTCTCTTCAAGTCGTTAGTTTATTTTTCTATAATTGTAATGTATATTGACCGCTTCTGAAGCCAAATGGATAAATGTATTGCCTAGCATTGCGTAAAGCGCAAGAGGGCCTGGGTTCGAATCCTTGGGAAGCTTTAAAATTGTGTCGGTCGGGCAGGGTACAGAATTCTGATCAACTACTTGCCCGTTAAAAGAACGGATCAGTGAAACACACACAGAAATATGTTCGCTCCATGTCCCCCATGGGGTGAACAACGACGACACCAAACACTTAATTTCTATGAATAAATTAACGAAACAAACTTGTAAAATGAACAGACCAAAAATAGTTAACAAATTCATTAGAAAACATGTTCGCAACGCGTTTCGACCATGTTTTTGGCTCCGTGAACAACGCGTGGGTCCTGGGATCGAGTCCTAGCAAAACAGTAAATACTTGCCGTCGGTCAGACGCATGCTCCACTGTAAAACCGACCCTACAGCCAGGATTTCTTTTCTTTCGTAGCTCACCTGAAAGTACGCACGACGTGGGTGACTGATATGGTCTGCATGCCTGATGTTAATATAATTGTGACCAGCTCCACAGAACGAGACTTACGCTTCTACGACTGCACCGCTAAGACCTTTACTTTGAAGATCGTTATCACCAGCTGGGAATACATGGTACTTTGACATAAACACTTTATGTTACGTTAAGAGTCAAACTAAGGAAATCTATACATTACTACCTCTGCCAGCGACGCTCGCGTGGAACAGTAAATTTTGGTACCATAGTATTTATTTTTGCAAGCAAGGTGTCTAGAACCGTTGTCGCAGCGTACGCATCGAAACCCCACAGAGCTGAATAATTTTCCCCATTTTTTTCACATTTCCCGCTGTTTCTTCGCTCTTATTAGTCACATTGCGATGTGTTATAGCCTTCCTCGATAAATGCTCTAACCAACACAAAAATGTTCTTTAAATTCGAACCAGTACTTACTGAGATAAGCGTGTTCAATCAAACAAACTCTTCAGCTTTATAATATTAGTATAGATTTTGGTATTGTATTTTTAAAAAGCAGCAGTATAATTTCTTTTCCTTCTTTTTTCTCTTTTTACTTTTGCTTCCATTACGCTACTTTTGAACTACAATTACTCCAAAAACTTTAATTTGTAAAAAACCTGAAATTTTTATTAAATGAATTTGAACAACTATAGAAATATATCATTAGGCTTTTGCTGTAATGCCTTTCCTGCCATTTTAGATATGCACCATGTATTACCACTTCGACAAAGACCCGAATGAGAAGTGCACTTTGATCTGCGGAGATGTGGGCGGAAACGTGCGAGTCTTGCAGTTCTCGCCAATAAAACGAGGGCCTTTCCGAAACCAAGCTGGTCGAGCACTTATACAGTTGAGGCATATCGATCTTCAGAGACGTGTAAGCCTCTTATAAATAACAAATTACGACACGGGCAGGACCAGCATCCACGGCGTTCCTTGCTGTTGCTCTTACTTGACCTTATTATATTCTGTTTTTTTTTTTGAGTTCTTCTCCCTATCGTAGTTCTTCTTTCTTTTAAATATAAAAACCCATGTTTTAAACTTATTAACCTTAATACACGATAATTCTTGTCTTCAAGTATAATTTTTCACGACGATTAAATGTAAATCAACGAATTGAGTATTTATAAAAACAGAGGGTAGAGAAAATTCACTGCAAATGCAGTGAATGCAAAATGTGGACTGCTGCCCTTGTTCTATAGCCAAGTTATGCGCTCGAGTTAGACGGCTGTTGGTTAAATGGTAGCTATGTATATACATAGTCTATAGTATAGTCATAGCCACGTCTTGTTGATATCAACGAGACGTGGCTTCGATCCCCACCGAGTCCAACATTTTTCTAATCAATTTTTAATTTTCTAAAACTTGTTAGACGTCTGGAAATCCCGATATTAAATGGGTGGTTAGAATATCGAAAATTTTCGTCCAGGCCACGAAACACCGCAGATGAAAAAGTCGTCATGTTTAATCGCGTTTCGGTTTCAGCCTGTTATTTCCGAATATCCTAAGCCAAAATAGGTCAACGGAGCATCTGATTAGATGTTCTGTGGCTGGCGTATTTTAATCAACCATCCATACCATCAAATCTGTCCTCCTCAATCATAGAATAGCTTTGAGCATTCGGAAATTCATCCGTGCCTGTCATTCTTATCTGTGGCCGTGTTTTGACTTTCCTGCCACAGACTTAATAATTAGTATTTCTAGCCACAACTGCTGGCGGAGATGAGATTGACGGAGTTGAAACGCGTCCATACAGAATGGGTCAGGCAGGTGTCGTACTACGCATCTCTGCACTGCATAGTCTCATGTGCCACTTGCCCAGATTCCCTACTGATGTGCGATTTGGCGGGATCTAAGACGCACAACATGTTCCGCTTAGATAAGGTAACACTGTCATTCTTTTATTTTAATAAAAAAGTATATAGGTATTTGTTATCTGTAGTTTACGAGGATGGTACAGATTAAATAAAACATTTTTTATCTACTTCAGAAATAAGATTCTTAATTCGAATTCGTTCGCTGATAACTTTCTTGTTTTTTAAATCTATTTTAATGATAATGTTTCAAGTATTTGCTGTAGTTTACGCGAGTCGTAAAAATTTAAGTGTTTAAAACGCGAAATATATCATTTATATCAACTACTCACAAGTTTTGATTTAGGAACTCGTAGTAAATGTAAATTTAGCATTTTTAGTTTTAACTAATGTGACGTTCATTACTGTACCTAGTTACCCACGTGAATTAATTATTTTAGACTTTGATTTTGGATCGTTAGTAGTTTGAAGTTTGAATAAAACATGTCTACTTTGTACGGTTATTTCTTATTACTCTCTAGTCAAACTGATATTCTATACTCCTCAACTAATTACAAAATTATGATACTAAACTCAACTCAACTATTTCGCCGCCGCCTTGGCGCAATGGTAAAATGCATTGCGTTAAAACAATAGATTTGAATTTCGGGGAAACTTTATGATCAGTTTCAGTCGGGCATGACACTAAAGTCTGATAACAGAGAAGAACCCTATAAATAAAATTGAACAGAAAAACGCACACACAATTGTCCGCTCTATGCCGCTACGATCAGTTGCATTTCCTATATTTAAATATAAGTTCTGATTTACTTTCGTTCCAGGGCATCCATTGTTTTGTGTTCGATGAAGAAGCCCATGTTCTGGTGACGGGTGGTCCGGATTGCGTGGTGCGCGTCTGGAACCCATTCGTCCCGAGCAAGGCTAGTGCAGCTCTTCATGGTCACCATGCGGGTATCGTGGCCGTGTTGTTACAGAACCGCGGAACCGTCGTCTATTCCATCTCACGTGACCGCGTGATAAAAGTTTGGGATGTGCAAGGACAGGCTTGCGTCCAGGTCCGTGGTTAAATATTGTCTATAGTTTACAGGGAGTACACATTTAAATAAAACACTTTAACGGTTTAAAACGCGAAATATATTAGTTAAACTTATTTGAAAAATATTTTAACTATAGCCCGACGGTTCAGATGATTCACGGCTACTGCAAAGCATCCAAAACGTTTAATTAATATATTTGGCGTTCAAAACCGGTAAAAGTGTTTTATTTAATAAAATAATATTTAATAAAATTTTATTCACAAAAACTACTATTATACTAATACAATAGTTTTTTTGGTAACTTTTAATGGTGTAAAACTTAAAATAAATGAGTTTTTTAAACTAAAACATTCATTGATCATGAGGGACTACCATGGTTGCTTCAAAGCCTCGGAAAAGTCGAGCCGAAAAAAAATTAAGTTATATTTTTCGCGTTTTAAACTGATAAACTTTACAGAATATCTTCTTCCAGACGTACATCGACATTCCGGCACAAGTTGGCGAGCGTACGCCGATTTCATGCGTCTACAATAAAGCGACGCGTGAGTTGATCCTGGGAGCAATTAAGATAGCGATCCTTGTTCTCGACGAGCAGATCAACCCCCATCATACAGACGGCTTCACACACTCGCGAGCCATAGCCAAGATACTCTACAATCCACTCTTCAAAGTCATTATTACTGCGGGCATGGATAGCATCATTATCAATTGGGATCCAGTTACAGGTGGGTAGACATAGGTTAATAAAACACTTTTAACAGTTTAAAACTCGAAATGTATTAGTAAAACTAACTTATAAACTATTGTAACTGCGGCCCGACGTTTCGGATGCTTTGTAGCGGCCGTGGTCACTGGGCGTCTCCCCGAAAATAAGTTTAACTAATACAGTTCACCTTTTAAACCGTTAAAGGTGCTTTTAATGCACACTACTCGATAGTATTCAGTAGGTATGTTTGAAAAGTTATGTTCCCAGGATTCTTTTCATTCTGTCGCATTCTTCTGTTTCACTCTGTTCTTTGATATTAGCCGTGTACAAGTTTTTAGATGTTATCATCTAAAATTTTACGTAATTTCTTCTACGGTAAAGAAACTAAAAGCATGTAAATGTACTATATGAATTACTATTATATTCTATGTTTAGTTTAGAGTGGCTGTACATTAAATAAAACACGCTTAAACGTTTACGTTTATATTCGTTAAAACGTGTTTAACTAAATATATTTATAGTTTGTTTAAATAAATAAATTTATACTATCTATTCAATTTATTCTCCTCTTTTGTTTTTTTTTTCGTTTTATTACTGGTTTGACAGTATTGATCTAGAGACATGAATTAATTATTGTCTGTAGCTAACGGTCTGTAGTCTATAGTAAACAAAACAATTAAAACGGTTTAACACGCGAAATATTATTAACTTCAAGTAAGAACGCGATATACATAAGCTAAGATTATTTTAACTACGGCCCGAGGTTTTAAACCGTTAAATGTGTACTACTCGCCTAAACTACGAACCGCCTTTGAAATACTTAAAGTAATCTTTATCTATATATGTTCTATACATATTTTCTTCTTGCATTTTCAGGCAAACGCAATGTGTTGATCCGCGATGCTCACACGAGACTGTTGCATGGTGAATTGATTCCAGTGGAGATCACCGCAGCCTGCTTTGACCCCGGGAACCAGTTATTGCTTACTGGGGCAAGGAATGGGACACTCAAGGTGATTCCATTATTAATAGTATATAGGCCATATTTTCAAATAAATGTTAGGCGGAGGACAGTTTAATATAAATTTTCTTTAACATATGAGGTAGGTTATACGACTAGTACACATATAAATAAAACACGTTTAATAGTTTAAATCGCGATTACTGGAATTATTTACAATTTATAATATTCGGAATTTGAAGCGTAGGGTCGTAATTAAAATAAATTGTAAAGTTAAAAGTGTTTTAAAACCTTTCATATGCATATGATGGCATTATATAGGTAAAAAAATCGGTTGTAGATTAGAAAAAAAATTACGACACGACCGGGACTTGAACCGTGAACCACAGCATTCCTCTAACCTGTCCTGTTGCTATAACCAATTGAGCTACCGTGTCAGTGACTTATCAAAAAAAAAACACACACACAATTTTAAACTTAATATAGAGTGCTGAAATTTTAGTTTTATTAAACTTTGCTCACAACGGTGTTTAAATAAAACACTTTAACGGTTTAAAACGCGATATATTAGTATTTGGAAATGATTTTTAAACTTTGGCCCGATGTTTCGGATGCTTTGCAGCAGCCGTGGTCACGGGGAAACTCTAGTTAACCTGCCTCTTCTATTAAAGGTCCTTAGAGAGAATTATAATATTACACTACCTTCAATAGGTATGGAACTTCAACACAGGCGTTTGCCTCAAGGAGATGACAATTGAACACATGTGTGAAGTCACCAACTGCTTCTGGGTGGAGGGAAGGTGTGTTTTGTCTTCCTATCTCTGTCTATGATTTAGTATTACTCTCACTTTTCGTAATTGTTCTATGTCCTGCTGGGCACAGACCTCTCTTATAGGAGTTATGATTCAATAGATGAAACCAACCTTGGGCTTAAACATACCAGAGCGGGTTGGTGGGCTTTAGCGACTATTTCTATGTATATTCTAGTGATAATAACGATCGATGGCTCGGGGCTGGCACAGGGAATTTTCCGGGATTTGAGTCCTGAACTAGCCTGAGTCCTTGATTGTCCTATTGTCCTAGCAGAATATTAACTACAACAAATTTTCTTTATTTTCCAAGAATATTTAAAAGTAATACATTGTGTAGGATACTAGCCGTTGGTTGGAACAGACACGTAACAGAGTTTGAGGAAGGTGGAACAACGCGCACTGGAAAATCATGGGAGACCAGACACTCTGATGACGTGTTAGCTGCTGCAGCAAGGCACCCCGTGACACTTGCTACCTCTTCGTATAATTCGGAACTCATCTTCTGGAAGTTGGAGACTGGACAGCCTTACAGGTTGAGAAACTTAGCTCAGAGAATCTATATACGTTCTTTTTTTTCCTTATCTCTCCATTCTTCTTCTTAATTGTTTTTTTTTTTTCATATTTATCTCACGGGTATACACTCTGGTCCAGTGGTACACTCTATTGACAGATCTTTAAGAGACTATATTTCAAAGCATAGTTAGCCATTGTGTTTTACAAATATTAAAATTTACTTTTTTCTTTTTAATTTTTTCGGTAATCTAAGTAAATGACATCTTCAGACGGTTCTCTTGCACTGAGCCTATGTTGCGCATCAAAATGCAGTACAGCAAGCGAGCAGCTTCTCCACACACTTCAACAGGACCAGCCTCGCATCGTGGGTCGTCTATGCTGCGTCGTCCCAGGTAAGTTGCTACTTATTTGTTATTGACCGAAGAATTAGAAAGAAGAACGAGAATTAGAAGAAGAAGCAACCTTCGGCCGCCCAAAATAACCTTGTTTTTACGAAGGAAAACGTTTGTATGTGACTAAATGATAGAATAATTTAGAATGAAAAAAGAAATGCATATTTCTTATTTCATTCTAAAAAGTAGGGCTTTCTTAATTTCAAATAAGCTGTAGTGGTAGCGATTGACCTTCTGAAGGATATTAGTTAAAAACTTTTGGTGTAAAAGTGCTGGTGGTGCCCGAGAGTCTGTGATCGACGCGGCATCTGCGATGGAGAAAGCGCGAGCTCGTCGCGTCTCAACTGTGAGTCTCCCTGCGCGTGCTCAACTCATGCGACAGCTTGCCGTACACGCCATGATCTTCTTGCAAACACGCCCTGTACACATGCGTGTTGGTGAGTAACTAATTATAAAGCTGAAGTTTATTGTTTTTTTTTTTTGGAACTACTGGTTCAATTTAAGAATAGGCTGTAAAAAAATGGGAAATGTGGAAAAATCGGGGAAAATTACTCATCTTTGAGGGTATCAGTTGCGTGCGCTGCTGCGGCCCAAAATCGTGTACATAAGAATAATTTATCTTTAAATCTCTTAAGTCTTATTTTTAAGAAATATGGGACGCGTAAAACATCGTAGATAACAGCTATAAGTAATTTGTAAAGATCGTAGAGAAGCTGGCTTGGTTTGTTCCAGAACTAAACCTCGATTCGATCGTATTATCTTTTCAACACTCATTCAATGATGCTTTAGCCCCACTAGAAAATTATGATAATAATAAAATGTATTGTTATCTTCAGCATCTCTGATGGTATCCCTGGAGAATGGACAGGTGCAGTGCTGGTCGGACCACCCGGCTGGTGGTATCCAGGGTTCTTTCCAGGGCATTCATACAGCTGGCGACTATGTCTCCGCGTTCGCCACGGACGTTGAAAATAACTATCTCTTCACAGGGACCACTGTGGGATATATTAAAGTTTGGCTTATGACGAACTATCTAACACATGAGAAGGTATGACATTACTTTCTCTTTTTATTCCCACCTTCAAACAAAAAAACAAAACATTTTATTACAAATATAAGTTCAGATACAAAGAAATGTGTAGATAGCAATGGTGGCCTAACCGCTAAAAAGCGATCTTCCAGGCAACCTTGAAGCTCATTATACAAAAGTATAATATGTTTATACAATGCTTAGAAATTTCTTAAAGTTATCCTTCCTTAACCACTTTTACCAGCAAAGACAATCCCAATAGGTACACATAAGTATGCCAAAGCTTCGTTTGAAATTTCCATTTCTGTGGCGGGATCGTATCGAAGGTCGAGCCAAGCGCTGTGTACGTGATCAGCCCCTGCCTCTCTTACTGAACAGCTACAGGGCTCATTTACGTTGCGTCACAAGTCTTGCCTATGTCGATCATCTTGAGTTGCTTTTCAGGTGATTTTATCCATTGTATTAAAAAAAGAAGTAACAAATTTCTTACGGAAATCCTTTTAGGTAAATCTATATGTTGGTACTATCTATATATTTTTTCAGCGGGTCGTCGGACTACAGCGTCCGTGCATGGCGTGTGTCAGGGGAGTATGTTGGGACCCTGGGTAGTTTTGTGCCGTGGTCGTTGGATACAACTCGTTTCCCACCAGATGTCTACAAAGTGGCTAGTTTTACTACATTTAAGGTAACTTCATTGGCATGTTCATCATTAGTTCATTAGTTCATCATTTTAACCTTTAAGTTTTCTTTTGAAAGTATCATAACATATAGCATACCTTTTGCAAAAACGATTCAAGATACCCAAAAATATGTATATGTATATGTATATACATATACATAATTTGGAAGGAATGATTTCTCTTTAAATGACCTATAAAAGTCAGCGACACTATATGTCTATCTTTTAAAAAAAACTTGCAAAAACGACGGGAAGGGGCGCGACAGACGTCGCAGGTAACAGCTTAAGTTAATATAATATAACCTAAAATAACGATTCTCGCGGACGAAGTCGCTAACACAGTTAATATATTATATATAAAATATTTTGTTCAAGGTTTGGCGAGGCGGATGGGTGTCGCGTTATGTGCCCGGCCAAGTGGAAATTGACAAGTTGCGCGATATCACTGAGCTAGAGCTGCGTACGCGCACGTTTGGCGCACCTCCTCCGCCTCCTCTGCTGGGCCACTATTTTACGTTGCCCGCACGGCCGGAGAGGCAACCTCCCATACAACTGGACGACTCTCTGCAGACGGTATTTTTATTTGTTTTTCCATTCATTGTTCCTCTTATTCAATTAATTTAGTTTTTTATTATCACGACTAAAGCTATTTTGTCAAGGCAGTCAAGTGATATCCCATTTCATTTGCCACTTTTACTTACTAGAAACTAAATATTTAATCGGAATTTTATACCCTGCCCGACCAAAACCAATCATTTGTCGTGTAAGACTTCTCCTGCTTAAAGCAACACAAGACAGAACTTTCCAATATTAATTTTTATAGTTGCCTCCTTATATAGAATATATCAAGTATGGACTTAAATTCGAGCTTGGTACGCTCAAGGTCGAGTTTTAGTGCAGACTAGGCATCCAGGTCATTTTTTTCTTTTTCATCTCTAATAAATAATTTGCTTTCGATAGATCCCCCCTGTATTCCCATCTACGCATGGCGTCTACTCAGCCGGTAAAACGCCCCCCAACTCCAGAACTGGTGCGCGCCACGCGCCTTAAGAGGGCGCCCGCGCGGCGCCCCCACTTTGAACCACCACCCCAAAACCCTTGAGAAAGTGAATTCTCTATTTAAGAAATTTTTATACTATATCAATACATTTATTTGAAATATACCTTAAAATATTAAATGTATTATCAATATGTACTTATAGAATAACATATAAATCTAAAACGAGATACAAACTAAATGCATAACTATTTCTAATAAACCTATGTAAACGCAACACTAAATGTCTAATTAAAATTCAATGAATTAAAGCTATTTCTCGACTGAATTATCGTTTGCGATTAATTTTTTTTTCGCTCTTATTTAAAGGCCCCTCCAACCTTCTAAATGTGGCACGCTCTATGAGTTCTTGCAGTTGGTCGAGGTGGACACTAGCGGCCGGCAGCAGGTTTCCGTCCATCACGACACGAATCAAGCCGTACTCTGATTTACGAAGAGAGCTTTCCTGGTATCGCATCACTTCAACCAATTTGACGATACTGAGGTGGCTCATTTTGTTGAAGGACATATCGAGATATGCTAGGCTCATATTACCGTTACAATAAAGGTATCCGTTCAGGTAATGTGTGTCGTTGTTGCTGAATGGATCGTCGTTGCGACCGATGATATCAATAGTCATCGCTTCTGCTTTAAAAGCTGCATCCGCAACAGCTCCATGTCCCGGTGTGACCGCCACTGCGATCGTTGATCGTCTTTGAGTAATTCTCTTTCGGCCCCCACTGCGATCGTCGAACGCTTTTTCATTGAACGATGTTATTATATCTTTGTAACATTTTTCGTACACCTCTCTATATGATTTCAAATATTGCAAGTTTCGCACGCGTTTCGTGTTAATTTCTTCGGGCGTCAAGGGAAACTTCATCAGGCAAGAGAAGATGGAGAAAGCTCCCGTGTCTGTTATATGGTTTCCTGATAGGTTTAGGTAGCGCAGGCTACGGTTCGTGCGAAGCATTGACGATATATCTAGTCCTCCTTTGTCAGTGATGAAGTTTGATGCTAGAGATAGTATTGTGAGAGAGCGGCAACTAGGTGCTGGGTAAGCCAACTTTGCCACAATATCACTACAATCAGAGTCATCTATACAGCAACGGTTAAGACTTAGGCTTTTTAATTGAGTTTGACGTTCAAGAAGTAAGCCGTAGTTGCAAGTTGGTAGAGGTGACTCGTCGAAGCAGATTTCTGTGATTTGAGACTGGGGCAAGAAGGTTGAGATCTCGCAGATTGCCTTATCGCTTATAGGACACGATTGTATCGTTAATTTGTTGAGGTTCTGTTGAAAAGGTATGCACAGGGTTAAAATTTTGAGAAGGAATACCGGTACTATGGTGTGTTTAAATTCGAGCTCTACAAGTCTTCCCACGGTATCAAGCGCAGCTGTTACAAACACGTTTGTCTGGTCGTCGGAGCATACTTTTAAAGCGGATGTATCTGGTGCTTCAGGCTCGTTGGATACTTGCGCTTGAGACATATATTGTGACATAGTGGACTTCTCTCGTTTCATTTTCTTTGTTTTTTCGGTTTGGGCGACATACTCCTCTGGAATTTATTTTTCAATTAATATATATGTATTGATAATATAAAAGTAATCGCTAAATGTGTTGGTAAGTGCAAATTTTGATAACAGCTTATCGCATTACGCTATTTTTTAAACAAGTTTTAAAAAATAATTACATTTCATTATTGAAGAAAAAAAACATCCCCGGAAAATTCCACTTCCGAAAATGACACTTCTCCCATATAACGCGAAAGTTGTGATGTTATTAAAAAAAACAATTAAAATATTGCACTGTTAGGCGGTACAAAGTTCACTGGGACAACTATTTAAAATAAACAGTGGGTATTCCCATTGTACTCGCCTATAACCCTGGTTGATACAATAACGCTGAATGGTGCTTCCAGCTGGTTACAAGCGTACGGCAAGAAGGTGACCAAATCTAGTGGTGAGGGGCGATTATCCGTTGTCATGTTGGCTCTATATTATGAGAATGTAGGCTTTGATCCTATAAAACTGCAGTTGTGTCAATCCCAGATATCAAATATCTGATGTCAGACCAAAAAGTTTTATTGTGCTTCTCGCTCCCGATAGGTAAAGTTGATACTGGTTAGTTGAAAATGAGAAGAGTTTATTTCTAATTGTTTATTTCCTTGTACTATAGAAATCATCTGGTGTTATTACATTTTGAAAACTTTTGACGGCGGCATAATATTGTTTAACGTTCAGCTTTTAAAACCTTATCTTACCTTCTTGATACGTTAAAAATATTAGATTAGTGATAAATAAATCTAGATATTAGGTCATATAACATTTATTTTATCGTATTAAAATATATGGTGAAGACAATATATAAATGTATTTACACCAATTGTTTGTTGAAGTAAAAGTATTTAGGAATTAATATTTAATTTCTGAAACTGCAAACTTACACGGTGAAAGTTGACGCGGTATTGTTGTTAGGTGAAGAAATGGAAATCACATTTTTTTTAATCCAGAATAGAATCCCCCTTAATTATAGCTACATTTTTACAACATGAACCTCCGAATATAAACCTATCATATAGATACTGTATTTTCCTGACAAATCAAGATAATCTTTGACCCTAGGGGTGGAGATAAATTATTTCTGGTATCTACTTTATGTAAATTTCATTACCCCCCCACATAACTCTTTTTTCCTAAATTACTTTTCTTAAGTTTGTGTGTACTTCAATGAAATGAGTAATTTATCGTCTCACAATACGTTGTGATATTTTTTCACTTTTCCGCACCGTCTTGATAACGTTTGTCATATCAGTCCTATCAAACAATCTCTGCATCTGCTGAAGCTCATAACTGCTTTCTGGCAGAGGATTGCCGTCTAGGACCACACGCACTAAACCGAGTTCTGACCTTCTTCTCTCTTCTTGATACTGCATCACTTCTACCAGCTTTACCGTGCTCGGATGTCCCAAATTGTTGTACGACAAATTCAGATAGCATAAAGTCAAATTGCCGTTCGAATATAACAGTCCATCTCTTACGAAAGTATAATCACGGTTGAATGGCTCATTATTTGTACCGATCAATTCCGTGGTCATCATTTTTGCTTTGGCGATCGCGTCTTCCTCCGAAAGTGCTTTTATCAACGACGTGGCCGGCACAGACTTAAGCCGTGCCGTGGGCTTCTTCCTAGAAGCCCTGCGGTCATCAGACCTATTTTCCACCCCAGCTGATGATATTAGTACCTCGTTAAAGCACTTCGAATAAATTTCTTGCCTTAACTTTATATATTGTATTGTGCGCAGGCGTTTGGAGACAATTTCATCGGTCGTCAGTGGAAAGTGCATTAAGCTTGTTAGGATAGCTACAGCGCCGTTATTTGATATTCTGTTTCCAGTTAAATTTAGGTGACGCAGCTGACGGTTGCTACGCAGCATTGTAGCTAAGGACCCGGCTCCAGTGTTAGATATCATGTTTGAAGCCATTGATAGTGTGGTGATATTTTTCGATGCTGGATACGGGTGAACTAATTTTGATGCGATTTCAATACAGTCGTCGTCGTCTAAGCGACAGCGGTCTAGACTTAAACATTTCAGTCGAGTTTGATATATGAGGAGCAGAGCATAACAGCGGTGGGGTAAAGGGGAATCATCCAGGTAAAGTTCTGATATTTGTGACTGGGGCAAAATTCTATTGATCTCGTGGATCGTGTAGCAGTCTATGATGCCCCACCGAATGGTGATCCTGGTCAAGTGATGTTGGTAAGGTATGCAAAGGGCTAATATACGCAAGAGAAGGCCAGGGACGGTTGTGTGGAAGAACTGCAGCTCTAGTAGTTGTCCTAACGGATTTAATATTGCGCCTATCGGCACTTCGTTTTCAATTTCCTCAACGGGAGGGGCTTTTGACTGCTTCGGGGCCGAGCCTGGTCCCTGTGTAAACGTATGCGAGGCTGACTTATCCCGCTTCGATTTTTTTTGCCTTTTCATTTTGGCTTACGTAGTCTTCTGAAAAAGTCATATGAATTACATATATTTTTGAAACATCATATTATCTACGTTTGTTTTTTTTTATTTGTCTGTTATGTATTTTGGCTCGAGGCTATCAATACTAACCAGACGTTTGGGCGAGCGCGCTAGCCATTTATGTTTATTTTGTCTGTAAGTTAAGTGCTAAACTAGGAACACTATGTTTCAGACAGTATGTAAAAATTGACCAAAAACCGAGTTCATAGATATCAATAATTTTACCTATTTAATCTAATTTTCAGATCTAATTAGCTATTTGCAATTTACGCAAGTAGTACACTTTAAAAAAATTAACGGTTTAAAACGCAAAATTGGTAAAGTTTCACCAATTTTGCGTTTTAAACCGTTTTACATTTATTTTAACTATTCGCTATTATATTTGGCAGCAATCGTTAGTCGTCGGCCCGTGTCCACCATGTTAACTATAACATTACGGATTCCTATACCATTAAAAGTGTTATATTTAATCTATCAGTTGTAACAAAAAAATATTACCAATAATACTGGTTTTCAACGTAACACTAAAAGGGGCTTCAAGCAGGCTGCAGGCGTATGGCAAAAAAGTGACAATATCGAGCGGACTGACTCGCGAAGACTGTATATTTTCTGCCATTTTTTTGCAATATATAACACAGAAATTACTTAAAATATGAACTTAGTCAAGCACTAGTTCTAACTGCTGTCAATAAGACATAAAATGTATGAAAGAAAATGTAGATGACGAGGCTTCTGTGGTTATATGAAACCTTTTTACTCATTCATATTTCATCATCGTGTTCTATATACCTATTATGTCACATCTTTCAATATTGTAAAATTCAATACTATGTCGAATTTTGTTTATTCAAACCTACCAAAGTTTTTGTCTTAATATTTCAGTTTCGGCTTCAAATGCTAGGTTGGTCGTCGTTAAAGCACATCAACCTACACTGGAGTAGAGTGGTGGATCTTAAACCTTCAATGCAATGGAAAACCTGCGCCCAACTTTCAGTCATTTCAACCTGTATCCCACACAGGTTGAAATGACTGTCCAATGAATGTCACGTCAGTTCGCTCAATCAAGACCACTAGGTGGCGCTCTTGTCAAAGATGTATTAATCAATGTCGTTTTGTGTAGTTCAACTTGGTCGCTATCTGTTTATTTTAAACACACTGTGAGTGAATTCTAAAATTGTATATAATGTAATTTTAAAGAAATAAAACCAGCCCACAAAAGCTATCGAAGGATCATGAACCATTGGGCAATGACAATAAAACAATTTTGCTTTTCTGCGTATTTATTTTATTGGTTTAAAAGAAGCAATGTTACGAATGCTTTCATTATTATATTGGTAAATTACTGATTGAAGTGAATAAAAATTATGTAGACATTAAAATTATTCTGGCGATGATATTTCATATTGTCGCAATGATTAAATTAATTTTTATTATCCCGCTTGGCCCCGCTGAGGACTATGTAGGGAGAGTGCGTCTCTTTCTGTTTTTGCTGCAACATATGGAGTGTGCCGAGCGGAGTATCCGTGGAACTCATTTTCTTCATCAGCTGAAATATATAAAAGATGATGAAAATCTATGAAATAAAAAATTAGAGTTGATTTCTATCTACTCTCTATTTATCTATATATATATTAACGTAGAAACAATAAAAGAAACATTTCTAAAAACCTAAAATTTAAACTTTTTTTTTATGCCAGAGGACAGACAAGGATAGGATTCACTCGACAGTAGATGAAATACCCCAGCCATATAACATCAAAACAAGATACGCTGTCGACCTATTTGGCCTTTGAATATTCGGAATTCAACAGACTGAAACCGAAACGCGATGAAACATTCGCGACTTTTTCATCCAATTCCAACATGTTTTAGAAAAAATATAAATGCATTAGGAAAATGTTGGACCCCAGTGGGGATCGAACCCACTAACGAGCGAACTTCCTGCATTGCTGATATATCAATCGGCAAGTAAACCTTGTATGTCCACCCCGATCTAAACAAAATTTTCTGTCCCTCCCGGGAGCCTTAACCTAATTCTAATACATAGATATAACTTACGCCCTCTTGAACCGCTTTCTTGATTCGCTTTTCCTGCTTATTTTTCCCGGGTCCTTTTCCGTGGAACTTGTGCGACAGGTAGCGGAACGCCTCCTTGGGGCACAGGGCGTGGCCCTCGTCGTCGACGTACTCCAATTTGATGTTGGGCCGGAAGTTGTTCTTCTCCCGGAACTCGCTCACCGCACCGCCTCCGTGGTGCCCGCGCTCGCGCCGTCCGTATTTGTCATCCTCACTGAAAGACGCATCAAAATAAGAATCAATTTAATTGTTTTATATTAGATTTGATAACATTATTTATTAATATGTAAAACCCAAATAACACAAAATGTCATTCCTCTATGAATTATTGGCCCTTTTGTCGTTTAATTTGGTTTTCTTAATTTGTTGTCAAAAAGTCTTACGTTTTTCTCCTTTTTTGGGTTCTTTATAATTTCTTTTAAATTTAATAATCCTTTATTGGCTTATGTTTAGTTTCAAGTATTGTTTGTATGTCCCACATACACAATAAATACATATATTCCAACAATAACTGGGAGTATACAGGCATGTATGTGACACAAGCAAGAATCGAAGCTACAACAGACGGCGTTATTGAAATATTTAAATTACATAACGTTATTGTTATTAACCGATTGAAATTGTATAATTTATACATATACATAAAATAAAATACCAATATAACATAAGGCCTTACCCATAAGTCTTGTCTTCTATCGAGTAGTTATGTGCGTTGAGCAAATGATGGAGATGCGAGCGCGGCGCGGGCGCAGCTCCGGCTCTTTCTAGGTATCCCTTACTGAGTGCCAACTGTAGCGCACCGGCCACCCCAGCACCTAAGGCTGGTTCGGCTTCCAGACCCACTGATGAACCTAAAATATAAAATAAAACCTTTAGATCTTCTTTCTATCTCTTTTTTAGAACTCTGTTATTTAATGTAAACTGCTCTAAAGCTACTATGAGTAGATTCTTTTGTTTAATCAAATTTATAACGAGCTCGTTGGTCTAATGGTAGCAATGTAATGCTAATAATCGACGGAACGTCGGCTTGATCCCCACCAGATCTAATGTTTCTAATAAATTTATATTTTTTTAAGAAGCATGTGGGACGTTGGCACGTTGGACGTTGGAAGAAAATTAAAATTTCGTTCTGGCCACGAACGATCGTCATAAAAATCTGTGTATCCGTTTCAGTCTGTCAGTGTTGCGAATGTCACAACCGAAATAGGTGGCCAGCGGGGACTGAGACAAATATATATGGGTTCGGACGAAGTTACAGTAGATGACATCAAAGAACTACAAATGAAAAAAATAATAAGATTCCGCAAGCAAACCGGAAGGTTTGAAGGGGGCACGGGGAGAGTTGGATGACCCAAAACCTCTGAAAGGAGGGAAATGGGTGAAATGGACAGCTGTTAACGTGGACTGATCAAACGTCCTACCACAGGTGTCCCCGAAAGAAAATAATAATAATAATAAGGTCGACAGCGCAGCAAATGTAATACGGCTGGGTTATTTCAAATTCCATCAGGAAAATCTTTTACTTGTATGTCTTCCTTTATCATAAGAAAGAGATAATGACCCTATCTATATATCAGAAGTATTTTATCTTACCAGCGACGAGGTCCGGCGGCTTCTCGTTACCGATATCAACTCGACTCCAAGCACTAGATCCGACTTCGGTCTCCGGCTCCGCTTCCATCTCCTCACGCTCGAAATCCTACAAATTATTTATTTGATTATGTACACTTTGCACGTATTTGACTATGTAACTTACTTAAGTTTTTCTAAAAAACAACGACTCCGTTATGTATTATTATATGGCCAATAATAATCGGGTCCTGCGTTCGATTCCAATCGGGTTCAACATTTTTTTATTCAATTCATAATTTTTCTGAAACATGTTGGACTGGAATTTAAATGGATATTTAATGGGTGGTAGGATTATCTATATTCCGTCCTAGTCACGAACCACCGTTCACAGATTGAATAGCCGTGATGATTCAATGCGTTTCATTTCGAATTTATAGCTAAAATAGGTCGACAGTGCATTTTGTCGTGATATTAGTTACGTGGGCTGGTATGTATTAGTGTGTTGGCATAAAAAAAAAACTTTTTTTTTAGCCAACAGAACGGAACACTAGATGCCGGTTCACGTCCTTCCCGTGTCATAATTATTTTTTTCCAATTTATAATCGATTTGCAATTCAAATAGTGCCATCATGTGCAATAAATAACATGTGAAAAATATTAAAGTTTTCAAAACTAACCATGATTTCAGTCGTTGTGTCCCTATTCCCAGCGAGACCATATGTGGGTATGTCCCCAAGGGTCCGACAGAACTCGGCTGTCGCGTCCAGGACCATGCCACCAACACCTGAGTTCCCAGCCATTTCATCATCTGACTCCACCTCTTCCTTCTTTACTTTCTCAAGGATCTCTTCGACCTGCAAATTATATAAAGCCTGTAAACGTTTGTAACCCACTAAGATAAAAGCTTTCAAGCTCGGACGGCCTCCGTAGCTGAATGATTGTTTAAATAAAACACTTGCGCGATTTATATTAGTTAAACTTCTCCCCGTGACCACGGCTGCTGCAAAGCATCCGAAACGTCGGCCGGTCGTGGGTAGATAAAATAATTTTCAAATAGGTTTAACTAATATATATTGCGTTTTAAACGGTTAAAGTGTTTTATTTAAATGTGTATTACTAGCGTGAACTACAGACAGTAGTTGAGTGATTGTCGGTGTTGCCTAGCAATGCGTTATGCAGGGGGTTGGGGGCTCGAATTCCACAAAACAATAAATAATTTCAGCCGTGGGACGTCATCTTAGGATTAGCACAATACTTTTTGTCTACATCTTTTAGTATTCCCGCATTTTATTTCTTGACCAAACCGTAAAACTAATTTGTATTAGGTTGTCTCTGGTGCCAAGCAAGTGATGCCATTATAATTTTCTTTCAAGTGTACCTTGGGCACAACTGGTGCTTGCTGGTCAGCCAGTCTAAGTCTACGAGCCCTTGCTAGTGCACTCTGTAGTTCCCCGTCTGGCTCCACTTCTTCATCGTCAACAACTGGCTGTAGCATCTCAACTTTGACATCTAGAGTATAAATTATATGTATATTAATTTACAGTTTATATACAAGACTAAACAGTGAAGAAATGCAAACTAAGGCATTAGACTGTATAAACCTTTATTCTTTCTTCTTTGATACAAGCAAGCATTAAAATAACCCATCTAGAAGTAATCTTTATACAATCTTCAGTTTTACGTAAAAAATATCTATAAATGACACTAGCGCCATCTGTATTACAATAATTGATACTCGCATTTGAAATATTAAGTTTTATTATACTACGTTAAGAATTAAGTCTGTCTATATGCTTACCAGTGTCATCAGTTTCTAGAGGTGCATTGCCTGCGTCATAGTCATCCACGTCTATTGGCTCTTGCTTCGCCTTCTTCCGGATTTTACCCTATATCAAGTCAAACAATTAATAGGCTTATAATATCGTATTGAAGTGAAATTATTTATCGTAAGAAGAAATAGCCCGATAGTTATATGTCTTAGTTTTATAACGTAGGAAACAACAATTTCAAATCAGTAATGAAAAGAATGGACACAAAATTTGAACTGTCAGCATCATTTGTTATAATAGCGAGCAAAACATGGGGCTAACTAGATAGTATGTGAAACACCTCAGCTCGAATAAAATCTAAAGATACGCTCTCAACCTCTTCCGACTTTGGATATTCGGAAATCCATTGACTGGAACCACATGGCGATTAAACTTCACGGCTTTTTCATCGGAGGACGATGGTGCGAGACCCGAACGGAATTTTGATTTTTCTACCGCCCATTTAATATTAAGTTTTCCAGCATGGTTCAGAAACATATATAAGACCTGGTGGAGATCGAACCCACGATACGTCGATTTAATTATACATAGCTACCATTACTCCAATAAGCCTGTGAAACCAACTATGTATATTAAAAAACAGAAAAGGCATTTTTCCATCGTATCGCACACAAAATAAACCGAACCTTTTTCTTGATCTTCTTGAACTTGGCACTGATCTCGTGCTCATCCATATAGTCTGAAGCTATGCGCAGCTGAGGCAGCTGCAAGGACTCCAAGCGCTTATCTGGTCCACCAGCGAGTCGCTCTTGTCTCTGTAACAATATATGAGATGTAAATGTATTTTATTCAAATTAAATCTTATATTTGCAATATTCTTGTGGTGACAATAAATTTCCTTTAAGTGATCGCTTTATACGTTTTTAAGTTAGTTTCTCTCCTACTTGTTGTATATACTTTGCTTTTGCTTTTTGGCTTATTGCATTGCTGTGCGAGGTTCTTCAGTAAATAATTTAGACGAAATATTTTGTCATATAGTTATATTTGCAGAAACCTAGAGTTTGTGAACACAAACAATGATGGAATATAGTGACTAATTGCGATTTGCAAGTAGGCACAATTATTTATTTCTTACACCGCAAAAAAAGTTTTTTTTTAATACCATATCCTGTACTTCAAGTTGCTTGCAAGAGATCGCTGCTCAACGATAAGCCTCCCTTTTATTTATAAGTTAAAACGTAGGATTTTTCCTCTTTTATATATTTTCTTGTGGTATGCGTTACAAAATAATAAAGCATTTTTTTTTTGTTTGTCTGCTTACCATCATTTCCTTGAAGCGACTAGCCTCCAAGGCGGCTTCGTCGCCGAGTAAGAATCCCGCTGTCTTCTTCTTGTGTTCAGGATCTATGGTCTCGTCGTATTTGGAAAGCATCGGCTTCTCTAGGCCGAGGGATGCAGCTATCTCGCTCTCTTCATCATACGCCTGATAACCAGCTGCTGCTTTGCGGCGCTCCTCGATGTTCTTTACAAAAAAAAGAGATAATTTATTAAATGTTTAACTAAAAACTTAAGGAAACAGAAAATGGTTTTCAAAACCAAGCATTATGTTACAAATATTCTTTTTGTTTTGTTAACTACAAAAATGTATATCTTTTGCAAGATAAAATCCAACCGGGGAAGATAGGCCCAGTCTACCTGTAGAAGCTATTCTAAAAATCGAACTCTCCGTAATATATGTACAAATGGGAAACAAGATAACTAACACGGACTACAAATTTATTTAGATTGATATAATTTTATAATGCAGGCGGGATTTGAACCGGAATCCCCAGCGATCTGCTAATAAATACTATACTAACTTTATATTGAAGAAATTTTTTAAACAGTGGACATAATATGAAACTAACCTTTTTATATCTCTCCTCGTCAACCATATTGACGTTAACAAGCACATCCTCCTTATCCTCCGCCAGCACATCCTTGTCGGCGAGTGTCAATATTGTCTCTCGTTCATCTGGCAACTATAATTCCACAAGAAATGTAAATAATTAATCTATGAGTGTTTATTGGCATATTTAATACATATATAATATGTTTTATAAGAAATATTTATAATATCTGAAGTTAATGCAAGTTAAAACCCTATTAAAGGTATAGAACGAGAAATATCTTTGTTAACTGATTATTAATTTATTACGCGCAATCCCCCCGTAACCAAGGCTATTATTGCATCGAAAATGAGCCGTAATTATAGTCCACATGAATATTATACAGCTAAAGAGTTTGTTTGTTTAATCGCGTTAATCTCAGAAACTACTGGTGCGAATAATAAAAAAATTGTATTGGTTAAACCATTTATCGAGAAAAATATAAGATATATCCTTTAAAATTAACTCGATGCACAAGAAATTTGTGAAATACTTACTACTACTACTACTGCTACGAGAAATAAGTGTTAAATCCTACAAACTATGGTTTTGTAGTCTCCGATGGCAATTAATCATGCTTTCTATGTGTTTATATGCACAATTGTAACCCGACGAATTGTAACCGAACGAAATGAAAATAGCTATCTCGTACAATACCTTACGCTATATTAAACTACCTCACATGCTCTAGCAGACGTACCTGGGTGACATCATGAGCAACGCGTAATCCACGAAGATGGCGATCGGTGTAGCTGCGTTGCCTCTCCTCACGCTGTTCTTCCGCCACCAGAGCACCGACCCCAAATACTGCGTCCATCTCGTCCAACATCGCCGCCTGGTAAGGAATTAGTTAAAAAATGTAACAGATATGTTATTAAATGAAGTGACTATAATAGAGTATGTTTAACGTTAAAACAGCACTTTCCAACCCCCAGGGGGGGGAGGGGTTTAAGAGGATTTCAAAACAAATAAGATAGCTTTAATTATAGAGATGTGATTTTAAAAATATAATAATATATACCCGTTTCTCAGCTTCTTTCTTCTGTTTATCAAGCTGTCGCGATTTTTTAACCCAAGCTACTGCGTCTTCCTCATCTGATCCTTCAGCTATAAGATTAGTTTTTAGCCTGAAAAGTTAAAACATGTCATATAATGCGTAGTTTACGTGAAACGGTTTCAAACAAATAAATATATGTATAATAAAATAATATATTGCCATATGAAATTAATGAACAATTAACAAGTCCCTATTAAGCATACACAAACTTGTAAACATTTTGAATATTTGTGCATCGTTATGAGAGACATTAAATATAGCATAATTTAAATCACAAGTTCCAATTTATGCATTTTTTAATTTATCTTGTTTGCCTTCTTATTATTTGTAAAAATAAATATCTTATTATTATTTTCTATTGGGGACACAGATAAAAGGCTGGGTGATCAGTCCACATTATCTGACGACTATTTCCCCCCGTTTCCCCAAAAAAACGATATCTTACTTTGTTTCCAATTTTCTTTTCTCCCGCCGTTCTTCAAGTTTCTCGCGTATTTTATCTGACTTCTTCCGCTGGGACAAGTTGGGTGCGGGCTTGTGGTAAAACTCACCGAGATCATCTTTGATCTTGCCGTCATCGGCTGAAATAATTACAAAGCCCAATGACAAAAGCCTATTTTTAAAATAAGGTGGTAAAATATTATATGAGGATATAGATCCATGATTTTATTTTTTATTTCACACTAAGGACACCAAATAGTACATACAGATACTGTGCAATTTAAAACTATAGAGTGTACCGGGCGGCCTTATCGCTATAAGCGATCTCTTCCAGACAACCCTAGTAGAAAGAGACTTATCGATTAATTAAAAACTATACAGCGTGCAATGTTATTTACTGATTTAAATTGAACTACTTTTATTTTTATTTCAAATATAGAAGAAAAATAAATAAAAATCTATATACAAGCAGATTGAAGAAATTTTACCGGCATCTACATGATTCCATATCTCTAATAGAAATTTTTTGATGTCCATACTTATACAATCTTAACACATTTAAAATGTTTATAACAACACTAGTTGTGCCCTTGACTGTGACAGAATTTTAATTATTTAAGATGTTTATTAATTTATGTAAGGGCACATTTAGGGCAGCCAATCTATGTTGTAAGTGCTACTTTGCTGCAACACTCTCACCTCACATCACTCCTATTCTAAGTCCCACTCTCAGTCCTACACTAACTCCCACTCCTATTCCCAAAAAGCCAAAGAAGAAAGTTTCATTGTTCTAGCTTCAAAAACCACAAATTTCTATACAACTTTCATCCCCTTTTTCAACCCCCATTTGGCATTAAAAAAGTATCCTATGTCCTTTCTCAAGCTCTAAAATATCTGTGTACCAAACTTCATTTAAATCAGTTCAGTAGTTTCGGAGTTGAAGCCGGACAGACAGACAGACAGGCAGACTTTCACATTTATATTATTAGCATAGATTATGTGGAATAATTTTAAATATTGTACATTAAAAACTTCTAAAGCTCTACAGAAATATCATTAAATATCATACCTGGCTTCTCGGTGACTTCCAAGGGTTTAAGGCCCAATTTAGCTCGAAGCTTATTTGTTTCCTCGATGGATAAACTCTCCTGTACAGATGCAGATACTTCAACTGGGAATTGGAACCGTTCTGCTTCATGGTTTTTGTCACTATAATAAACAATTCAATGTTAACTATTCAAATTTGTCTCTAGAAAATTTTTGAGAAGTGAGTAATATTTATTAGTTTAAGTATTACTTATAAAATGCAGCAACTTTAAAACAATTATTAGCCGCACATAACTACCATTACACCAACATGCCCATCACATCACCTTTTATTATGGTGATTGTATAATGTCATACCTGTGCTTCTCATCACTATGTTTATCTTTTGAACGGCGACTGTGACTACTGCTGCGACTGCGGGATCTCGGCAAATTCTTCGGGAGTAGATGAGAGTCCACAGGCACCTCTTCCACTATAACAAACACAAACTTCTTTTAAAGAAACCTACATACACATGATTTTATTATCTCTACACTTATTTCTGTCAGTACTTATCCATGACAAAAAATCAAACATTTATTGTATTTTTATCTAATAAGAACACAGAGATAAGGTTTAAATGTCGCACATATATTGCCAATCTACCACTGATATCCAGAACCTTGATAAATGTATATTTTTCAAATGCTTGATTTCCTCATAATTTTTTTTGTTAAAATGCCAGATATAACTAAAAACCTTATTTTCTCATACAAATTTGATGAAAATAATATCAAATTCAAAACTTTTATTGCCCTTTTAACACATGGACAGTAAGCTTATAACTACTCAATGGCATAAATGAATAATAGACAAAGAATAAAAAAGCGAAGGATGGCAACTGGTACCGTTGTGCTGCTGAATGCTTGTCACACTCAGCAGTGCTGGTTTTCAGATTTATAACATTATATAATTAGGATTGTTGTTAAATATCAATTGAAACTGTATGCTATTGTATTTTTAATCAAAACATTTCTGTTAGTAGATAATTAAATGATCACTGGAAGCCAAAAATTACACATAAAATGAATTTAATAATGTCCTGTTTTGTGAACAAATCAATGTGAACACATATAGCTTGTGTAATTCTATATTCATTTTCTTGAGTTTTACTAAGATCATTGCTTATTTTTTTGTTTCATAACTGCAGTGTTGCTTTCTACATGTTTATTTTCATTAGAATTTTGCACCCACACTTATTAAAAAGTTCCTCTTTAATTCGAATAATTGGGTTGTACCTTGTAAAGAATAAACCTTTGTGTACAACTACTATTGACTATATCACAAACATACAAAATGCTTGTACTTTTTTATTCAATGTAGCCACTGTACCTACCTCACTGGAGAAGCACTCGGGATGCACTCTCATCTCGAATGCCACCACTCTGAAAATGAGCAAAAATCGACATTATTTTGTCAACGGTATGAAACGCTGATTCCAAGAATAACGTAATTATGGATATATGAAATTATGAGTATATGTACACAATATTGATATTGAATGTTGCGTCATACATCCCAAGTACATCATTCTTGAAGAACAACGTGGAGGAAAAAAGGAATTAATGGGATACTAACCATCTGGTGAGCGATCCTTTTTGCGGTCCTTGTGTTTTCTATGATGTTTACGTTCACGTTCTTCTCCTTCTAATGGCGACCGAGACCTACTCCTGTGCTTCTTTTTCTTGGAATCCTTCTTATGTTTTTTAGAGCCCATAGTGAAGATACTGTCTTGCTATTATTTGATGATTATAAGCAAATCGCTTGTATATTGTAAGTCTTTGTATCTAATTAATAAAACTAATAAATAATTACACCACGATCCAACGCCAGGATTGCTGTCAAAACTGACATATGACACAATTCGACGCTATGTGCACAGATATGAGTATAATCACAGACAGTCTACAATTGAAAAATATATAAAGAATATTCTTCGTTATTAATTTATTTTCAGGCACGTAGTATAATAATATAATAGTATTTATATACCAATAATATATAATTCGTAGTGAGAAAGCATAAAAAACGATGGGTTGTGTTTGCCCTAACGCTGTGGTAAAATGGACGGTTACTATGTGGTGCTCGCTATGACGTTTGATGTAGTAACAATGTTATGTTATGTTGGGAATTGTATATACTTCAGCGTCTTTTTCTCTTATGTCGTATTAAATAAAAAACAAGAATAATGGAAAGTATTTTATTCATCATAATTAAAAAAGAAATATCTCTTTAATACATTTTATATATATTTTATTAGTATGTATGGGCGGCGTAGTTTACTCGCCTACAAAACAATAAAAGTGAAAAATGTTACCGCCTCTTCTAAAATTATCCTAATAAATTCATGTTGTTCTTTTCTACTTAAAACTGGAGTGTGAGAGCATATGTAATTATATTACCTGCATAAAGATAAACTGTTTGGCTTTCAACATCTTATTAAAAAAACACTTTATATTTCTAAGATATGTGTTCTTTTCCGATACTTGAAATTATCATTTACAATGGAACAATGATAATCAAAATAGCGACAAAAATATTTCAGGAAGACTCTATGTATACTTAATTTTATTATTATAGTCAATTATAAGACATCACTTTTTATTTTAAATCAAGTAAATTCGCAAGTAAACCTAACTTAACATCCTGTATACAAAACACTTAAATTAGTTATTAGCATCCTAGCAATAAAAATATGTTTTTCTTTTTATACATACATAACCATGTACAATTATTGCTTTGGTTTCAAAAATATACACTTAAGCATTTATTTTTAGCGAGGCTCAACAAGGCACAGATAACAATGTCATTAGTATCATGTAATAACATCAATTGATTTTTATTATTAGAGAAAGTACCATTCTGAAATTATATTTAGGAATCATTTCGTCATGATTTTTTCACCCAAATTTGTTAAATGAGTCTCTTTCACATAATCCACAGCAATGGGCAAAATAGTAGATTCAAATCCTTCTAGATTAGGACAAACAAACATCAGGTTCACCCGATGGCAGGCGAAATACAACAGCTATTTTGGCTTTTGGATATTCAGAAATCCACAGACTTAAACCGAAACGCGATAAAGTTGATGACTTTCATCTGTGGGCGGTGGTTCCTGACCCGGATGGTACTTGTATATTCCTACCACCCATTTAATATTCAGATTTCCAGACATCAGAAAAATGTCAGACCCGGTGGGGATCGAAACCACGCCGATGATTATTAGCCAACCAAAGAGCCACCAAGGTGACCGTCAATAAGCTTTCTTTGAAAAGACTACATTTTAAAACACCGCTGCAATATTTAAAATAATCGTGGGCTTCTTAAAGTAGCGCATGCGCGGGTAATATGCGAACGGGCGAAGGCTTTCCCGCCGGTTCTATGCTCTCCCATGCGACCACACCACCATCTGCGTAACTAGCAAACAGCAGTTCGTTGTCGTGACTGAATGCTATGCTGTAATAAGAAATAAAAATCTACATTAATATGATAAAGATGAAGAGTTTGTGGTGGAAAAACTATTTATTGAGGGAGCCTCTAGAACATCGCGTTACTAATAGGAGCAAAGATACAGTTGTGGAGAAATTGGGTTAATTTATTTATTTTCCCCCTTTTCTCCTTGCAGTAAATTCAAATAATAATTAATAGTATTGCATATTTCCCACAATCATCTGCAAATAATGTGAAAGTACGTATTTAAGGGGGGGGGGGGTCAGCAATATCTTATTTTTCTGGGATGGGAGGGATTTTTGATAGTTTTTAGTAAGATCGAGTTTAATGTTAAAATTATTATTGGCGAGTGGGTTTCGAGTCGCTTAGTAAATTTCTATTTTAATTTTTAGTACTCTAACGTAATTGATATTTAACAGGTGAGGGGTGAGGGAAGTTCTTATTTTTTCTTATAAAGGGGAGGGGTCTTAAACTAAACTTACCTAAGTGTATCTCTATCAAAAGTATCAGTGTGAGGTGGAGGCTGGGGGGACGGTTGCGGAGTTGGCAGGTGGGCGAGTGGACGCAGTTCCCACGACGAATAGAGACGGATAGCACCCGATTCGAGTCCAACGGCGATGCAATTAACGCTGGTACCTTCAGCGCATCCGGAATATCTCACACACCTCACTGTTTCCGCTACTTTTACGCTGCCTGTGCATAAAATGATCATATGATACTCGTAGGGGGGTATTCATGAAAATAAGTACCTCCAAATTTATTATTTGTTTGTCTAAGGGCGATCAGTGCAAATCAAGTAAATCGATGTAAACTTTATTTGTCTTATATACGTACTAGAATAAATAGGAAATATCATATCCCCCCCCTAGGGCATGGGCCATGTTCGTTTCAGTGATCAATTTCTTTATAGGCAAATAATTGATTAGACTTCTGTGTTTTGCGCAACCAAAATCATGTGTTTAGCCGGGATTCGAACCGAGGACCTCTCGCGCTTACCGCAATGCTAGCCAGCATGTTAAACCATTTAGCAACACGTCTGTTGTCGATAAGTTTTTGCGAAATTATCGTTGAGTTGACTATATAAAACTTTGTAGATAGAAATTGATCAATTATTTTAGCTAAATTGAAAATAAAGCCGAAATCGGTCATTTTGGTCGGTACATATCATGAAAACAATACAGATTTTTTTTATGACTAATAAGTTATTTAACCACGTACCAACAAATCTTCCATTAACTGTGTGTACTCGTATAAGCGACTTAAACTTGTAGGTGTCATCGTGTTCATAGTCCAGCCCCTCCGTGTCGGCATGTTCATCAGTGCGGGAGTTCACGTCATTTAAGTTTGGATGCGTGCGCGCCGGTTCATGTACTGAGGCGACATCGCTCAATGTTGGGCTGATAGCAACGAGACGTACGCGCAACATTTCGCGATTCGGCAGCGTTCGGATGTATGTTAATCTAGAAAAAATATATTATATTCATTATATATTGGTGGAATAAATATTAATTTTATAACAATAGATACGAAGTGAAATAAATTTAAAGATTTGATTATTTAATGGTAATCCTCATGGTATATTTCATTCATATAAGATACATTTAATATCCCATAATTAACTATGTAAAAAAGAGTTTCATTATTAGAAGCTGTGATTTTTATAATAAAAATCTGATATCAGTCGATATTTTCTTTGAGATCTTAAAGCACAAAACTTGTATATCTCATTTAATATTTAAAGCGTAGTTTCTAAATTATCGATCCTATTCGACCTTTTTTGTTCTTGTTCTTTAGTAATATTTTTCATTTGTTATATTCTGTCAAGTATGCATACGTGAACTTTAACCTTAAAATAATTTAAGGTTTTAAGTATTCCATTGTTTTGTATATGATTGTTTGTTTCAATTCCAAATAATATAAATAAAAACTATAGACTGGTAGCTAAACACCATATCAATTCATCATTTTCCAACGCCTTTAAAAAAAAAAGGTTTTTTCTAAGTAAATAAAATAAAAGTCACTCACTCGTGAAGATCCCAAAGTACGATGAGACCGTCTTCGCTGGCAGTTACAAGTAAAGTAACAGCGGACTGAGCATCAATATGAGCTATAGGAGCTGCGTGCGCGTGCAATTGACGCGTACGCACCCGTAGCACACCACCGCGACACTCCGCGCGCGCGACTACCACTCCCCCACCGCTCAAACCAAAAGCGCATCCCCATCTGCCCTCTTGCCATGTGCAAACTGTAGTTATCTGTCAAACAAAATTTTTATCAGCCAATTTAAAATATTGAACGAATTAATAATTATACAGAAAACATTTTTAACGGTTTAAAATGCGACATATGTAATTTATTTTAACGTCGAACCTGCGAATTCAGCATTCGTCATAGGACACGTTTTATATCGAGTTTTTAAATCAAAAAAGGTTTTTTTTTATTTAAATGTGTACTACTCATATCTTGAAGACAATTGAACCATTTCCTTAAATATGTTTTATATTAACGAGATGTTTTTTAAATATTATTAATAACACATCCTATTTAATATTTAATTATTCAGTAATAAGTAAGTACAAAATTATTTATACTTGTTCATTGGGTGGAGTGTGAAACAATACATCTGGTGGTAAATCTCTTCGCCGGCGCAGTCTCACAGCACCATCTCCGTGGCCCCACGAGACTAACCCCACATTCAGTCCTAGATTGGGTCCACTTGAGCCACTATTTTTACTGCTTGTAGTTCCGGACCCATTAGCCAAGGGCTCATCTAAATTGAATTTATGAAATTTAAGTAGATTTTCATATAATACCACGTCTCAAAAGTACCTAAGTTAAGTAGAGTTTATAAAATAATAACCGTAAACGCAACTGTTTTTTTTGTCTTTATCAAATTTTATAGTCTACATTACTTCGTTTATTTAGTGTAGCTACTTCGTTTGAAAATCTGGATACGAAATGCATAGTAGGAATATCGAAATTCCGTATGGGTGACCCCCCGTCCACAATAGTAGGTGAATTTTTTTAAATATTAAAAATATTCCTAACATCTTATACCTATTTCTTGGTTAAAACTAGAAACACGTTAGGAATCAAAATTGTTGCATATGCCTTATATTTGTTATCTTACCATGCACAGGCATCAAAGCTGTCCGCGCTAGCGAGACGACCGCAGCACGTGCCTGTGGTAACGGAAGCAGCGCGTGCGCAGATGCGTACGTACGACGCAAAACTTGTCGAGCGGGCGGACTGCCCGGTGAACCGCAGTAGCGACCCCAACGTACGCCTCGGACACCCGCGTATATTGACGATGTATTCTGAAACAAAATGGGTATAAATGACTTGAACCGGCATCCACAGCTAACCTAACCTAACTAATTGAGCTTCCGTGTCATCGTCGGATTTTTTCAACCGATTGATGCATGCACCTCTCGCGCTATGTAATGTCAATCCTAAAACTTATTAAGGTCTTATGTTATGCAGCTTAATAAAATAATTGAAAATAAAATTAAAGAGTTTTACGATGTAAACTTTAAATACTGTCTATAGTTTACGCGAGTAGTACATTTTTAAATAAAACACTTTAACGGTTTAAAACGGTTTTTTGTGGTCTCCCCGTGACCACGGCTGCTGCAAAGCATCCGAAACGTCGGGCCGAAGTTAAAAATCATTTCCAAATAAGTTTAACTAATATATCGCGTTTTAAACCGTTAAAGTGTTTTATTTAAAAGATGTAAACTTTAATATTTTTTCACGTGTAATATATAAATTAAAATTAAGATGACGGTAATGTTTTTCAATCTATAATCTTTTTTTAATTAATATAGTACCATCATATGCATAATATTAAAGTTTTCAAATAATGGTGTATATAACAATAATAACACAATAATAATTATACTAAACCACTTATTTAATAGTTGATGAACTATATTAACTTAATAACTATACTGAGATATGGATAAAGAAAATATTGTATATCAAGTTTGACCTGGAGAGTGTGTCTGTGAGACTGAGTTGCTTGCGATACCTATTTTAGCGTGGGACCAACCTGCGTTTGTGGTGATAGATCTGGAGCTCTGTGGGGATGCGGTGCTCGTAATAACTGCCGTGGTGCTTGACCGTACGTGCGCACCATAGCCTCGGCTGCAGTGCGGTCCACTTCATCTTCCAACGCCCGGGGGTCGAATCCGTAGTAAGTCTATGTAACAATTAATGATAAATATTTATTGCATGTGAAACAATCACCACCTGTCTATAGTAATTATTGAATTAATATTCGTCGGACTAAATTGTTTTTTTTACAGATTGTAATCAAAAGAGTGGTTTGTAACCCGGACAACGGATATTCCTGTCACCCATGTCATATCCATATTTCGAGATTCTAACAAGATTCGAAGCCTGACATGTTTCCGAAAAATTGTAAATACTTAGAGAACACGTCTGTCCCGGCGGGTATTAAACCCACGAACCTCAGTTTGTTAGCTATACATTGCTACCGCTAGACCAACGTGCGAGAAACTAATGAAAATTACTTGAATTGCTTTTTTATTCTCAAACCTAACTAAAACCAAATGCGGATTTAAATAAAAATACAACACCATACACACTGTCTCTCTCTCTTACACACACACACACATGCACCAAAGAAAATCATACTTACACAAGCCGGGAAAACGTTAATAGCATCTACGGCGTGTTGACCGGTCTGTTTGTACCCGAACACGAGGTCTATCCAGTGCGGTAGACCTTCTGCGACGTGTGGCGCTTCGAGTGCTTGCCGATGGGCGAGTGTGAAGAGGCGGGCGTCTGCAGCCCAGCGCGGCAGTTCTACGCTGTCAACGCGAAGACCGCATTGGCGTACGCCTAGTTCCAAACCTGTACATTGGTTGGTACTGTACTTAATGTTTCAGAAAAACTATAAATTGATTAGATAAATGTTGGATTCGTTGGGGATCGAACCCACGACCTGTTAATTTAATAAAAGGGTAATTTTAATACCTTATATTTTTACCTTTACACCTAAGAGCTCGTCGAAATTATTAAATTAATATTAAAATATACATGTCTATTCAAAAATAACGGTACAAAAGAGAGAAATTAAAAAAAGAAATCACCTTCATTATTATAAAATAGCTCTGGCAGATAGTACAGCTCAGGTATAAGTTCTTTGACGTCGGTGGGAGAGTCATTTGTGATGAGCCTCCAAGTGGTAGCGAGCGAGTGGAATGTCCGGTCCGGCATGTCAAAGTTGTTGTCTGTGAAAGTTATTAAAAATGCTTATCAATAAAATAAAAAAAATATTGCCACAGAAAAATCTTAGTATTAATTGCTAGGGCGCTGTTTTTCAGTCTGTTCCCGTTAAGAAATATTTGTATAAAACACGTGTAACTTAAATATAATTATGTGCAATTGTGTGAATCATGTGAAAAATATTAAAGTTTCTAAATATTAAAATCGTTTTAGATAAATTAAACATTTGGTTTAATTTCGCACTTATAAATTTATACTATAATAAAGCTCTATATTACTTGATACCTTGATAATTGAGGAACTGTTCCGTAAAAGGTGGTACTCGCACAAGATAGTGAAGCACACCACCAGAGTTGGAATACAGAGATGCGTAGTGGTGGGGTTGTCTTGACAGAAGCGGGCTGCAGCCGGTTCGTCGCGCTGCCTTAAGGTCCTATGTATGGAAAAAGATATATAACTGTTTAATAAAAAAAAGATGGAAATAATCTAAATACTGTCTGTAGTTTACGAGAGTGGTACACATTAAAATAAAACACTTTAATGGTTTAAAACGCGATATATATCTATATAGTTAATCCTATTTCAAAATTATTTTTAACTAAGGCCCGTCGTTTCGGAGCATAATTTTCAGATAGGTTTAAATAATATATATCGCGTTTTAAACCGTTAAAGTGATTTATTTAAATAAGCATAATCTATTGGTGACAAACGCCAGCTATATACCTATAATAATAATAAACATGACAATTCTCTTAAACGTGTAGATTTTTAAAATAAAACGGTTCGAAACATAACATTTATTAGTACGACGATTCGACATTTCAAATGCTTTGCAGCTGCCATGATCACGCACTGAAGTTGGTCGGTGTTCCTATTGTCAAAATTAATGTACATAACTGTTACGCTAGCGCCATCTGTTTCATCGTAATCGCTATTTGAAACTAGCTAGGTCCTCAAAGAACTTATCTCATCAGTATATCTCCAAAAATGACATACGTCGGATTAATGTAAGTTATATATTTAGCGTTTAAAACCCTTAAAAGTGTTACATACAAATGTGTAGTACTCGCGTAAACTATAGTTGATGGTTGATGTCTATTGCCTATAAGATTCCATACGTTTATTTTCTAGATCAACAGCGCATCTTGTGTAGGTGTTGCGAACCCCGTGCTTGTCTATCCTCCTCTAACATTAAAAAGAATATATAAGAAGATAATTATAAGCAAATAAGACTCACGTTATACGTATTGATATAGTGTTGTTCCCTGTTCTTATTTTGGACAGCCATAGGTTTACTGAGATCGCGGAATGATGCTGGATCGGAGAGATCGAGAATCTTCGACGTGTAATCCGCTAACACGAAGGGCATTACCGGGTACTGCATCAGGTCGTTGTAGGAACGGCCGGCTAGGCCGTTCAAAATCATGAGGTACTCCCAGTTTGTAATAAGCCCGTTTCTCCATTGGTTCATAGCTTCGTTTAGGCTCTCTGGTTCTGTTCTGTAAACGATATAGCATATCTATAGTAATATATAAAATTGAAGAGTTTGTTTGTATGTTTGAACGCGCTAATCTCAGGGACTACTGGTTCGATTTGAATAAATATTTTTGTCAGTTAGAACAAGCACTTAACGAAGGCTATAAAACATCACGCTGCGACCAATAGGAGCGAAGAAATGTGGAAAAAACGGGGAAAATTATTCATCTTTAAGGAATTCCGTTGCTTGCGCTCTTAATGTCGTTCTTGCAAGTTAATCTTATAGATAAACACCTACTGTCGCGTACTTTTCTAAGATTATTTAAAGAGGAATCATTAAAATTGATGTAGGGACCTAAAAGTCTGCCAGATAGACGTTATCTCATTCAGTTGCAAAACAAATGCTTACTTTATGTGTGGATGTGTGCGTGTTAAATGTGCGAGGAAGGCGGAGCGATCAGCCGGGGTCTCGAATGCTAAAAGGTGTGCACGGGACGGACGAACGAAAACCTGAAAACAGAAAAGTAGATTTAATTAATTGTGACGTTAAAAAGTAAATTTAATGATAAAAACTTTAACATTCTTAACATGATGTCATTTTTTAAATTAAAATTAGTTGATTGAAAAATTGTTTCGACTAGCACGCAACGCTGTGGATGCCGATTAAGTCCCGTCGTGTCATATAAAGTTTCAATCTAAAATAGATTTTTAATTTAGGTAAATTTAAATTAAAACCAATCCGATGACATTCTGACTAGTACCTAATTGAGAGAACAATCTATTTTACAACAATTCACTAAATCTATTATCTTCATTATTTAGAGAGGATTGTGAGTTATAAATATAAGTTATAAAGTTATAAAGAATCTTGATAATTAAAATAAAAAATTGAATTCAGTGGATATTAGAATTTCTATTGGAATCTTATACAAAATACAAAATTGTAAATCTACTTTAATATTTAAGTCGTAGTTAAAAAAAATTGCTATCACTTTTTTTAATTCGTGTTCCTTACATATTTCTTTTATTGTGGTATATTTCCGTCACGTATGTATAAATAAGTGAAGCTTTATATATGACTGTTTGTTTCGTTTCCAAATAAAAATAAGAATCTTACTTCCACAGCGCGTTCCTGTAAACACCAGCGACGCGTAGCCGCCGCGTATACGCTAGGTGCGGGCCAAGCCACGCCCTCACCGCAGACCGCGTCTACGCTATCAGGTAATGCGTCTGGTACGAAGTGTATAGCTCTGTCAGTGATGAGTAGTTCTCCGCCGGTTTCTGCCGCTACGCTTACGTGAAGAACACGTGACATATGTAAGACGACTTCTCCCCTCTGTAGACGTGCACCGCGGACCGCTCCGCTTCCGCTTGCCAAAACGCTGCGGAGTGGCGCTTGGTGGTTTGCGTTCTCTATGATAAATGAAATACTTTTTAACGCGGTTTTATAATAGAGCAAAGTTCACTAGAGGTGAACCACAACCATGTAAGATCTATACAAGATACGCTGTAGACCTTTGTCCTTAGATATTCGTTAAACGCGATTATTAAAGTTGACGGCGTTTTCATCTGTAGGCGGTGGATTGTGTCCTAATTTCGACATTCCTACCACCAATATAATATCCAAATTTCCAGACGAAGTCCAACATGTTTTAGAAATATTTCTAATTGATTAGACAAATGTTGGACTGAATGGGGTTCAACCCACGACCCGTTGATTATTAGCCATACGTGGCATTACACAATCGAGCTCGTCAATCAATAATTCTTCCGTCATCGCATTTTGTTGATAATCAATTAAGTTGACAAAACTTATACAAAGCCTAAACCTTATTTAAAGAAATATCTTTAAACCATATAGTTCGTATTCTTATAGACAAATACAACGATATGATAAAGAGTTTTAGAAGAAATGATAAACGTACCAGTTTTATGCCTATGCGCTGCCTGTAACTTATCTGGTGGCAAACGTAAGTGTGCTCGACGTAGACGGAGACGGACGCGTGCTGGACCCTCCGTGCTGTCTAGCTGCCAGGACATCGGGTACCCGCGAGCACGGTGCCAGACACCTGGACAAAACATTAGATTAATCTACAAAAATTACACAACATATATTCGACACGAGATAGACATTTCAAAAAGGAACGATTATATATAAATGATTATAAATAGCTATAAAATAAATAAAAAAACGTGGGCGGAATCGAACCGGCACCCACAGCGATCTGAGAAGCAAAAAGCAAATACATTTTTAATTTGTATAATGCCATCAAGTGCAAGATGTAAAAAATAAAAACAAAGGAACAACTGTGTAATAAGATTGAATGAATTTGTTTTTATTCGTTTTGCGATACTAAATAAATAGTCAACTTTTCAAAGTAACTTTGAAATGAATAGCTTATAACGTTTCTAGACACCGAATGGATTGCCTAACAGTGAAAGGATTAAATAAACTTATTTTGACCAAAGCTAAGTTCTAAAACGATTGATCTTGTTTTAAACAGTTAAGAATGCAATAAGCAAACTTCAGTTATAATTATGACTAAGAACCCACAAATCAAATCAGTAGTTTCTAAGATAAGTATGTCCAGCAAATAAACAAATTTATCAGCTGTATATTGGTGTAAATTTAATAAGTACCTCTCTCATGCGCATGCGTATCAATGGCCTGTGTCCAACGTGTATGAGCGCGCGCAAGTCGTGCGTGCGTGTCGCGCAAATGATCGAGAAACGCTTTCCGTTCACCATTTTGCGCATCCACTACGCGTCGCGTCGCCGCCATAGCTGTTTCGCAGACCCGCAACGCTAAAGCCGATCGGCTAAACACAGCTCTGTAGAAGAAAGATTAGAAGTAAATAAAAAGTAAACCAAAAAAAACACCTTAAAAACCAGTAGCAGTTGTTAGGAACTACGTATAAAAAGTAAAAAAAAAACATTTAAGGGTTTAAAACGTAAATATATCAGTTAAATTTATATTAACTACAGCTCGACCTTTTGGATGTTTTGCACCACCCGTGATCTGACAGCTGACACAAGGGCCGCGCTCCATCTTTAGTCTCCCTCGTGGCTGACTAAAGATGGAGGTCCTCCCACATCTCAGTATTTATTGTATAAACATACTTAGCTATTTGCGCCGCCTGCGTTTGTGGATAGTAGGTCTTTGACCAGCGGAGTTCGTCGTTTTTAAGCAGTCGTTCGGCCTCTGCAGGCAGGGGCCGTTCGGGCAGGTCGGCTTGTGAGCCCACGGCCCAGTCACGCGCCCAATCAGTTATGGCTAGTTCCAGGCTTTCCCCGGTCTCCACGCCCTCCGCCGCGAGGTGAATGTGACGGATCATCGTCAAAAGGTATACTGACAGCTAGAAAATGATATAATTTTATTACAACACTCAACGATTAAAACACGATATATAAAATCTGCTACTTGCATACAATATAGACTTTACATAAACATATGATTATAAATACTGTCTATAGTTTACGCGAGTAGTACACATTTAAATAAAATTTTTAACTTCGGCCCGACGTTTCGGATGCTTTGCAGCAGCCGTGACCACGGCTTTTAAACCGTTAAAGTGTTTTATTTAAACATATGATTATAGGTAATCTAAATTTTATTATGACACCAGAAAAACAGCCTGTAACATATGGAAGTCTATATCGATTTTTTTTTGCTTCGGGCATTCCCAACACTACTCACCCATCATTACAATATGATTTGCGGACGTTAAATCATAATAAACGATTGATCAAAATATTATAAACGCATTGGAAATCGAACCCACGACCCGTTAGTTCTAGCCATAAATTGCCATCGTCTTTTTGAATTTCACACGTAGACTAACCTTTCTCATGTGTGAAGGATCCTTGGGCGCTAGGAGATCGCGAGCGGCAGGTGGAGAACAGTACAAAGCGCGCAGGAGACGCGGCTGAAGCGATCTGACCCCTGGGGCTGGACTCGCTGCCCACCAGAACACTTCACACAAAAGCCCAGTCCACTCTGCACCGCCACCCCAACGCCAGCGACCGCGACTCGCTCCGTTGCCGTTAACACCTGGAATGATGTTCATATTAATGGTAATAAAAATAAGATATCTATCTATAATAATATTATAAATGTGAAAGTAAATCTGTCTGTCTGTCTGTCCGGCTTCAACGCCGAAACTTTTTTAATGCCAAAAAGGATTGTTTGGAAATTCATGATTTTTGCAGCTAGAACAATGAAATTTTTTTTCTTAGAACAAACGATTCAATATTTCTAAGTTACGTTACCTGCAAGAAGCGTATCAAGCAGACGAAATAGTAGCCGTTCTTCGTACTGCAGACTATGTCTAGGAGAACGCGAAAGCAGGAAGGCGACAGCCCGCGACACTGTGCTGCTGTGGCGCGACATTACCTCACCCCGCTCGCCCCTCGCTCCGCTTCGACCCTCCACTGCTGATGATAGCACTGAAGATTTTTTTAAATATATTATATAATATAATGTGCAACAGACTGCAATAATGTGTAACCATAAACACTATAAGAAATTTCAATGAAAGCATTTAAACGGTTTTAAACTTATAATATTGACTTTTCGTGACCACGAATACTGAAAACTGACACGTTCCATAGTTAAAATATTTTAATTTTAATATTTCACATTTTAAACCTTTATTTAAATGTATACTAGCGTAAACTGCACGTAGTGTAAAAATCGAAATAGAGCGAATGAATTTTTACTACGGACCCAAGTTTCGGATGTTTTACAGTAGTCGTGGTCACGGGGAGACACTTTTTAACTTTAACATAAGAGACCCTCCATTTTCAGTCCCCCTCCTCAACGACTGCTGCTAAGCGTCCAATACGTCAGGCCGTAGTTATTAATTGTAAATAAGTTAACTAATACATTTCGCGTTTTAAACTGTTCAAGTGTATTATTTAAATGCGTACTACAGACACTAAGTATTGACACTGACCGTTGGAAAAGTAACCGGCGATTTTATCTGTGGCACTGACGTGGAATTGGTGCAGCCTACTCTCAAGGTGGTCAAGTTGCGCGATGTACAACGCCACTTGCGCTGCGCGTGCAGCGCGCGCGGTTTCCTCATCTTCAACCTCCCCCTCTTCAATATCATCTGAGCGCTCCGCCACATGACTGCCACCACGTTCCACGTATGTCAGAAGATGATGCATGTCCACTATCAACTGATTACAAAATATAAGTTATCATCTGAAAAGATCAATTAACTCTTTCGATAGATTACACTTTTTTCTTAAGTTTGTTGTCTTAAGTAATCTTTTTCAAGTCGGAGCCAGTCTTAATTTTGGTTTCCACTTTCTACTCTTAATAAATTACAACACATTAAAAAAATGTATTGGAGATTCATATTTACTTTAAATACAATATTTTAACGGTTTAAAACGCGTTAAAAGTCACTCAGGTAAACTTTAGACAAACGTAACACTAAACAAAGTTAATACTGAATTAATTTGTTTTTGTTGTGAAATTTGTGTTTGAAAATTTCATGATTTACCTCCGTACTTTCAAACAACAACACTTAACGGTTTAAAAGGCGAAATATTTAACTTTACGTATTTAGAATTGATTTTAACTACGGCCCGATATTTTGTATACTAAGCAGCAGCAGTCACGGGGGGGACGGAAGTTAGAGTCGAAGTAAAAAACGGCTGCCCTTAGGTAAGATATTTCGCATTTTAAACCGTTAAAAGTTTTTCACTACTTGAGTAAACTACAGAGTATACTCTACCTGTGTACTATGGTTTCCGGCTAGCACCTTGATAGCGAATCTGGTAAGCAGGTCTTGCAAATCATCCAATAAAAGCTCCTTCCCCTCTCCAACGGTTGTAACACCCCCAACCATACTAATACACCGCACTACAACTTCACACAGTGCAACTTCGTGAAGGGACTTCACTGATGACTGAAAAGTAATTCACAAGTTGAACATCAAGTCTAATCTCAAGAACTGGTTTTGTGTCGAATATACCAATTTACATAAATTCAACTTATAAACTTCAGTCTCCGTCTATTATACCCGGGCTAGTCAGAAAACCGGCTTTGCTAAATGTGATAAGCATTCAGCAGTACAGCTGAGACTGGTACCGATTGTCATTTCTTATCTATTTATTATTTATTTATTATTGATCATCGCCTCATCAGACCGCCTCTGTAGCCAAATGGTTAAACGTATTGCCTAGCATTGCGTTAAGCGCCAGAGAGCCTGGGTTCGAATCCCAGGGAAACATAAAATTGTTTCGGTCGGGCAGGGCACAGAAGTCTGATCAACTACTTAAAAGAACCCCCGTTAAAAGAACGGATCAGTGAAACCGCGGAGAAATGTGTTCGCCCCATGCCCCATGAGGGGAAAACGGGCTTTCACTTTTTATTGATCATCGCAAGGGCAATAAAAAGTTTTGAAATTGAATTCATCTAAAGCTAAGAGCCTTCAATAGCAATAGGAGCGAAAAACTACAGGAAAATGTGGAAATAACGGGGGAAATTATGAATATACGTGGGTTTCCGATGCGTGCGGTACGAGAACGGTTCATGATACCCGAAAAAATATGTAGGAAAAAATTATTCTTCTTCAAAATAATCTAAAAAAATGTCCACGACATTGTATCTTTAGATTAACACAATAATCGTTTTTATGGCAATCAAATTTTGTCGAAATACTTCATATGGCCAAACTATGTGCGCCAGTAGGTCAGCTAGTATGTATTATACTGTTAATAAACACTTGGCGCATGCTTATTTAAAAACGCTAGAGCGACATCTATAGTTTGACCTGACCGGACCTTACAGTATTATGGTATTATATTTTTGACGCTTACGCACCTTATCAATAACCCTTCGAAGCACCGAAATAATATTGTGTGCTAGCGGTACATCAGCGAGGCACGTAGGCAGTACAGCCAGCAACGGCGCAGCGCGAACACATATTTGCAACGCTTCTACATCACTCCATACGTCCTCCTGAAAACAAACTTTACAGTTTTATTGACTAGACCGTTATCCTTCATTGTATACGGCATGATAGTAACTGTAATTTAACCTCTCTAAGGTAGTAATGTGTGGCTAATAATCAACAGGTCGTGGATTCGATCCCCACCGGGTCCTACATGCTTGCAATTAATGTATAATTTTTCTGTAACATATTGACTTTGTCCGGAAATCTGGATATTTAAATTGCAGGAATATCGAAATTCTAATCGCGTTTGGGTATCAGTCTGTGGATTTCCGAATATCCAAAGCCAAAATAGGTCAATAGCACATCTTATTTCGATGTTATACGGCTGGGGTATTTTAACTACTATTAAGTGAACTTCCTGCTTGTTAACTAATTGTTGATGTCCTTCACTACAAAAAAATATATGAAAACATACTTCAGTTTGTAAGATGGAAGGCCAGTAAACATTTAGAGTGATATTATTATTCTTTAGTTATTAATGTTTAGGCGTCAACAGAGATATACCCTGGTGCAAACAGACGGACGGACAACGAAGTCTTGGTTATATGGCCCTACTTTATAGTTCTAGTGTAATAATTATAGTAATAAGTATATTTACGTCTAACTGATCTTCCAAAGGTCGATCGTGACCAGTTACAAGGGCAACACATGCTTCTGCTAATTCCCATGAACCTTCATACATGGAGATCTGTAAAAAAATACACAGTTAAGAAAATAAAAAAACTGCACAAAACTGCTTTTCATATAAAAGGTATTTACGCTATTATTTCTTAAGAGCCAAGGAAAAGGAAGAAGAAAGGAATAATTTAGTCTATTCACTATTGCATATGCTGTGTTCACTGAACTTCCGTCCGTTCCACTAATATTCAGACACGTGCTACGTGTGAAAAAAATATCGTGGTGCAAACAAATTGTCCTTGAACCAGACGTAAAATCATCAACACGCATGTCACGCCAGGTTGTCGCCACCATATGAGACCAGAGTCCCAGCTCTGAAAACTATTGACTGATAGTATTAAATATAATTGGCATACCTGATTGGCAAGATGGAGGTAGAAGTGTGCGTGCATTGCAGCATGGAGAGCACGAGGATCGCGGGCGTGCAAAGCACGAACAACTCGCACTACGCTGGCACGAACCCCAGCACTGCGATGGTTCGCCAGCACCACTATCTGCTCTGGTTGAATAGCGCCACCTATCGCCTGATAACAGAGTAAATTTCTGTTGGTAATATTCTAATATCTCATCTGTCTTTGTTAGGTTGCCGTTTGTTAAAGAAAAAAAAGATAGACATGAAGTGAGTTTCTGAGTAGAGTCGGATTGAAATATTCCACTTCTAAGCAGTATAGAAATATTTGAAAAAGCCATCAATATCATTATCATCATTATTCTTATTTAAATAAGCAATAAACAAATTAATAATGATAGAGTTTAACTAAAGCAGACGAATACTATAGTAACAAAATACAACATTACAGTAGTATCGAAATTAATGATGGAAAAATCGAACGGTATATTGTTTGAAAATATACATTTAGCGCAATCCAGTGGCCGTTCGGGAAAATACGTGCAGAGTTCCGATTACTCATACAGTGGTTTGAAATATTTAAGCTATAAAGGTATTTAGCCTGTGTGCTTCTTTGTATATTATCTACCTGCGGCAACATATCCTGTGGCAAGTGCATGACAGTGTCACGGAGTAAGAGCAGCAGCCCAGTACACGCACTCCAGCCAGGTTCAGCGCCAGCGCGAACGGGTCGCTACAAAATTCATTATATGTTTTTTAAATTGAAGTAGTTAATAAAATACTGATTTAAAATTTAGCCAAGTGCTAATTGATGTAAGATTGATAAGATGAAATATCTCACCTCTTGGTATAGTCCGTTCGCGTAAACGTCTACGTTAGTCTGTGGAACTTGCTCATTGTCTATGACCACGTATTCATTAAGCGGGTCCGTCTCTACGCCTTCTGGTCTTTCATTGCTGTCCACTTCGCTGCCACCGCCTATCTCTATAGCATTATCAAATTTATTCGTAAAGTTCCTAATGACTATACTTTATTCTTTCTACGACAGTAAAATTATGGAAGGAATAATGAAAAATTAGGTAGAACACTTATAACGATTAAAACGTAAAACGGTACTAACAGCCCGACGTTTCAGATTAGGTTAAAAGTATTTAAATTGGTACTACTTGCATAAACCATAGACATTATTTAATTTGTAGGCGGGACAAAATTGATTTTAAGACATACCTTGTTTTTCTCAATTGTTTAAGATAAAATTACTTTGCTATTGATTATCTATTTATGCATTGAATTTATAACCCTTCAATGTCATACATGAAAGTGTGAGTATGAAAGTGTTAGTTACCAGCAGTTGCTGCATCCGAATATTCCGATGTGGAAGAATTAATGCTTTTTCTGAAATGAGACAATTTAAAATTTTTATAGACTGTCGCAGCTTTTTTGAAAATTATTTGCGTTTACTAGCTATTCGGCCGTTGTAACTAACAACCTTTAATGACTGACTGTCTTTTGTTTCGTTTTCGTTAGTTTCTTCCTTCACTCATGAGTTTGATAAATGACTAAAGGAGTATTTTTCACCTATGCCGGCCAACATCTCGAAACACCCAGAAGCTTTGCAAGTATAATATAATTACAATTTTGTATTATACATTAACTTACCGATCCTCCTTAATCCTGGTGTTAATGATCGATTTCATCTGTTTCGAATCTAAACTAGCATTATCTGTTCGGTCACTGTCTGTATCCCTAGCAAGTTCTTCCCTCGAACCCTTCTCCTCATTTGAGACGCTAGAAGAGCTGGATTTGTCTACGTTTTCTTTGCTTCGCCACTTACGCAGTTGCTGTTTACCGCGTCGCTTGCTCAAAAGTTGTAGGAGGTTAAACTCAGTGCTGTCTGGCGTCTCAGATGTTATGAGAAAGTAGAAGTTCGCTCGTGAGTGGGTAATGAATGTCTCACTAGCCTAAAGAGATTAAAAAAAAATTATAAGTTTAATGCCATTTTGTGCATCCACCCTGCGCAATTCCACGGTAAACATTCATCCGGCTTTCATCCGGCTCGAAGGACCAATGTTTAAATTCCAAAAATGTCAATAATATTAAGTATATGTATGTATTATTAAACTGTCAAATATATTTTTTTTCCGCTAAAACTACTAAGGCTTATGACAATTCGCTTTCCAAACTTAAAACTACAGTGTCAAATGTAACAATAATCTGATCCTATTCACTAACATTGCTTGATATAAAAGACTGTACAATTAAATTGTTCATTGCTGTTTTCTGTAAGTTAAGAACATATGCTAGTTCATATAAGTGTAAAATTATATTGTATTGTATGTATAAAAATTGAGTTCAATAAGCCTTTAAGAATAAATAATATTTTGCGTGAAAGTGTTCATCATTTAATTAACGGGGTTACCTGGTGCATAAGGAGCAAAAAATCTGCAAGCAAAGCAATGTTTGCCAGCAGCGGGGGGGGCATCTAGTAGAGCACGGACCAGGAGGACGAGCGTATTGCTTCCGTGTTCTGATAAAGGCTCCGAATCTGAATTCAGGAATCGTTCCTGAAACCGAAAAAAATAATGGTCAGGTCCGAAAAGTGGTACGTATACATGTAAGTATGTGTCATATGCACAATAAAAATAGCCAGACCGGCAACATTATCCAATGCATACACTATTTGATTTAATGTCGTGTTAGTTTCGTAAGGTAGTTAGCATTCAAATCGGACAGCATCAGCAAGTTTCGTTTTCGTTCAACTCGTCGCGGGTTCGATTCCAGCCTATCTTGTTTATGCACTTCATGCTTGTCTATGTTTCTTTTTCATAAAAAGAAATGAGTAGAGCCGCTTAAGGCAATTAATATAAGAAACAATGTCTTTTATATTTGAAGGGAAGTCTTATATATCCTATTGGAATATATGGTGCAAATTAATCACCTTACAAGCTAGAAGAAGGTGCCTAAGCAACGGAACTCTTGCTGCTTGGTACGCGTTGAAAGCACGGCGTGGATGCTCCGCCCGCAGCAAAGCTCTCATCGCTGATAATGCGAGACTCCAAACTGTTCCTCTGCAGATCTCTCCTTTGGCTGTCCTATCCCTCTCTTCACCCTCGTCATCCTTTACACTTAGGTCCACTTCTTCCCATTGAACCTCCTATAAGTTATAAAGAAGTATTGTCTGTAGTTTAGTACGAGTAGAAGGAATTTAAATAAAACAAGTTAACGTTGGTTTATAACGTGAAATAAACAAGTAAACTTATTTTTGGTTTATTTACTAACTAAACTATAATCGGAGTATCCTAAAATGCTTTTTAGCAGCAGTGGTCACGAGAGCGTTAACGTTGGATTGTCTAGCTTATTTCAGAGTCAAATTGGGTCGGTATCTATTTTTCACAGTTGAATTTGGAAAATTGCCTAGGCCCTTACACTGGTACTATTTTTTGAGGTCGGTGCATATATATATATCGGGAGGCAAAATGAAAATTATACGTAATCGGGAGAGCTCGCAGTAGAAGCAGCAGCAACCGTGGCTCCAGCAAAACAGCGCGAGTGCCCACGTCTACGCGGAATTTTCCACCATTAATGTCTATAACAGACCTGTCGCAGGCTTCTTTGAATATAACCTGTAAATAAATACAACAATTAGTTAAGATCACATAGAAAATAATAAAAAATCCAAAAAAGAACATTTGATGAATAGAAAAAATATTGTTTGTACGCGAGTAGTACTCACCAAAAAATAACGGTTTAAGACACGAAATATATTTGGAAGTACATAACTAATATATTTGGCGTTTAATCATTAAGTGTTTTATGTAATGGTATTTATAATATCTTTTTCATAGTATGTAATTAATGTTATGTACATAAAAATCTTAGATGAAAAAAATTAAATGACTCGGGCAGACATTGGAACGAATTCCACAGCGTTCCGTGCTTGCACCGATCAATTGAGTTGCGATATCACATTTTTAATCTAAACTGATATAATGCTATAATGTGTATATTGAAATTCTTTTCACGGTTTAACGAAGGCTAGATATCAGTGGAAGCTTTCAAAGGAGGCTTTTGTCGAATGACGAATTATTACTGTATTTTTTGATGACAGAGGAAGACAGACAATCATGGGATCCACTTGACAGAAGGTGAAATACCGTGCCATCTACACAAAATGTGATGTCGACCTTTTTTGGCTTTATATAGGATATTTGACTTGGGCTTCTGATTAAATAGACATACAAAAAACCAAAAAAAAACAAATTAATAAAGGTTTAATTTACATATACATATTCCATACCGATATCGTATTTGGAGCGAGACGACAATCCGAGCAGGCAAACACAGGCAAAAGCATGTCAAGTGTTTCACGCGCATGAAGCGCTGAGTACAGTCGCGCATCGCCGCTGCACGCACCGAGGGCTACGCTGAGCGCGCGGGCTTGCTCTTCAGCAGTGCCACCTGCTTCCACCACCTGCAAATCAAATAAGCATCTGGATATACTGGTAGATATAGGTAGTCACTTGATATTTTTTTTAATATCAGATTGACTTCGTCCAATATATTTAAATATACAGAAAGAAACTGTAAAAATAGCATATGAAGTAATGTTTTTTCAGTAACGTGTGCAACATATATTTTATACTTTATTGAGATCTCAATTAGTACAAATAGCATTAGAAAATAGATGTGAAATTAAAGTGATTAAAATTATTTTAATATAATTTATGCTAATTAAAAATCTATTAACGTTTTAAAAGTACGATACCGCCCTTTTTTTCCAAAGAAAACCCCCCCAAAAAGAAATCCCGAACCCGGGGGGAAAAAAAAAAGGGGGGGAAAATGGGGGGGGGGTTTAAGTTCCGCCAAAAGAAATTTTTGGCGAGACTTAAAGTAAGCCAGTTAAGTAAGTTAAAGTCATTTATATAATCTCTAGTTAATTTTTTAAGTTTAAGTCTGTAAAAATTGAATTTGTTAATTAACGATTTGATGTAGGATTGTAACGATGTACTTGGGATATAAATTATATCTACTATAAATAGTATTAAAAGTAATTTGTGTCGTTTATAGGTGAAATCATTTGACAGCTTACCCTTGCGTACAAAAACAGTACAAGTTCAGGCCCCCCCAAGTGAGCAGAGCGCATTCTGAATATTTCGATGTAGAGTTGCACGGGGTCTAACTGCCCATGAGCATCTCAGTGATTCAGGCACACCGTTACTACACAGCGATCGCCCACCAACACTTCGGCCGCCGAAAACTAAAAAACAAAAAACATCAATTAAAACTCTGCTTGTAGTTTACGCGAGCAGTACACATTTAAATAAAACACTTTAACGGTTTAAAACGCGAAATATATTAGTTAAACTTAGCTGCTGCAAAGCATTCGAAAAGTCGGGCCATCGTTAAAAAAAATCAAATAAGTAAAACTAATATTTCTCACGTTTTAAACCGTTAAACTGTTTTATTTCATTTATTCATTTATAATTTCTGGAAAACTAGCTTAATTATTACTAAGCGATTTTACCACCATTTTTAACAGGTAGCTTAACTTAAAACATTTACAGTTATATACTTCTATAACGGCCTACTCATAGTATAAGATCGTATAAACCACAAATAAATATGACTAAAGAATTGTGAATAAGCTTACCTGTAGGTGTCGGCGCCGGTGGCTGATAGAGGTTCATAACATCTGGTGTATTTGCAGAAAAGAGCAACAACAAATTATCGCTAAGCTCTCGTAGGGTTGTACTTGATATTTCGTAGACCTGGTATACATAAATATAGTTATGAAAAGATAATAACGATGGTGGTATTATTTAAATTAAAAATCTATTTAAGATTGAAGTTATTTACACGACAGGTGCAAGTAAAAATTCAGCATTTAGGACATGGTAGCTCAATTGGTTAGAGCACCGGCTCTGAACAATGTGGATGCTGGTTTAAGTACCGCCCGAGTCATAATTCTTTTGCAATCTTAAATAGAATTTTAAGTTAAAAACTTATTGCACAAACGTGTGTTATGTTATTATTATTATGACTAGTAACGTTAGATTTTTGTGTGAGCACTTTGGTGATTAAAATTTACATGTCTTTCAGTGAATTTTATTGATAGATTTTAAAGGAATCGCCGTGCTACAAATGTATAATCCAAAATCTAAATAAATATTCACCGCCTCTGAAGCCAAATGGTTAAATGCCTAGCATTGCGTTAAGCGCAAGAGGGCCTGGGTTCGAACCCCAGGGAAACAAAAAGTTGATTCGGTCGGGCAGGGCACAGAAGTCCGATCCACTACTTGCCTGTTAAAGAACGGATCAGTGAAACGGACACAAAAATGTGTTCGGATTATAAACAACAAACAAATAAATATTTACCTGATCCCAGTCTATGTTCATATCTAACAGCTCCGAAGTGATCACAGCAGGATAATTTGCGGAATCGCAACGTATCTGTTGAAAGTAAGAAATGAAACAAGTGAGCGTGTTTGACAGGCCCGTACTGGTATCAATGTATGGCTAATAATCAACGAGTCGTAGGTCCGACACCCCAGTAGATCAACGATATTTCTAATCAATTTATAATTTTTCTGAAACATGTTGGTTCTGGTTATAAATGGGTGGTAGGAATGTCGAAATTCCGACTGGGTCACCAACAACCATTCTATTCAACCCATACATATAATAGCCGTGAAGTTTAAACCCGTTTCGGATGTAGTCTGTGGATTTCCGAATGTCCAAAGCTAAAATAGATCGACAACACTTGTTTAGATGATGACTGCGATATTTTACCTACCATCAACTGAACCATATGCCTGTCCACCTCAATTATTACTAGTGGTTCAAAACTAGTGGGATCGGGGATTCCCAGTTGTTAAAGAAAGTGTACTATTTCTAGTCTAAAGCTCTAATGCTCTCTAGCAGGAAGAAAGATACATCGGCGATATATTATATGTAAGATACGGTATGGCTAGTGTTTTATTAAAGATTACAGCTTCAATAGAGGCCCAAGTCCCAGCAGTGGGGAATGAGAGTAATATATTAAAATGTGTACCTGACAGGGCAGATCCGGTCCATGGGCAGCAAGATGCAATGCTATGGGTGCTGTAAGAACGGGCGCTCGGTATACCCGTAATGAGGATACTCTTACTGCACCACGGGATAGATTTGAGCTGGTAGCGTTTGTCACGTCACCCAAAATAACGTTCGTCGGAGTCACTTTACGGACCAGTATACCTATAAGCAAAAATAAGAGTTCAGCGTTGTCTGGGCATACATGTAAATAAAACGCTTGTTAGGCAAACTTCAGTTTGTGTTATCTTCATTTCAAATATCTAGCAATAGAACAAAACACTAGTATAATCGATAACACATGTAATTCTCACTCTTCATGCTATATGAGGCCGCTAGAGGCAGAGTAGCCTAACTGCAATTATGACTCGACTTATTGTCGTTTTTAGTTTTAAAATGTTAATTAACAATTCTTACATAAGGATAAATTTCTTTTCATTCTTATTTTCCAACTTATTGAAAATCATGTTATTTTTTGTTAAGTCACTCTGCATCTAGAAGCCTCATATATAAGGTAGATTTTCTAATAAAGCAACAGTTGCGAAACAAACACTGAGCGGAAAAAAACCCTGCCACATGCCTAAAATCCTTCCTTTACAGTGATGGCACTTCGACGATACTTCGACCCACCATATCACCATTTCATTGGGTAGTGAAAATTTGCAATAACGGTTTACAGCTGTCAGACTAACTAACACTGTATTCAACATACACAAAGTTAATTCCTATCACACTTTTAAAGGTTTAAAGCGCGAAATATACTGGTTAACTAAATTACAATTCATTTTAGCTTCGGATGCTTTGCAGCAGCCGTCGGGTCACTAATGTCAAAGTTAACTTTCGCTACTATAGTTTTCTTAACTAAATTAATTACAACATTGAATACAACAGATCTTACCTTGCAAAGGAAGAGATAAAACTTCGCACTCTCTACCATTTATATACAGCGTCACCTGTAAATTATATTCTTCTTTATATAGGAAAATGATTTTTTCTAATAATCACCACACCTACAATACAACACAATTTCCTGGTTCTTTTTACAATTTCTGTATAGTAGCATACCAAAGCTGTCTAATGACTACTCAGGATTCAAATCCTGACATACCGCAACGCAATGAAAGGGAACAGGTTTTACCATTGCATCACTGGTCATTTTAAAATATAACTGTCAGTTTCTTACAAACTACTTGCTTTTTATCGAGAAGTATTTTGTATAAATATGTACTTGAATGTATATGAGCCTCCGATGTAGACGTTCGGCCACGTTGAGAGCGAGGCAGGTCCACCGTGATGGGCGTAGCGTAGTACGGGTCGTGGCGGAACTTAGTATACAGTTGGCATCGCTTTCAGGACGCGACAGTTTCACAGTCAGCTCCCCTGTAATCATTTATTTTCTATTATTAATTGGCTGCCTACAAATGAAACCTTATAACTCAAATGGTTCAACAAAAAAAAGAAAAGGCGAAAAAACAACTGTCTAAAAAGGTCTTTAGAATAGAAATATGCTTTTAAATACTGTCTATAGATTACGCGAGTAGTACACATTTAAATAAAACACTACAACGGTTTAAAACGCGATATATAAGTTAGCTAAGTAATATATCGCGATTTAAACCGTTAAAGTGTTTCATTTGAATATGCTTTTGTTAATCGTTATCACGAGAATCACGAGCGGAGGTGTAGCGGGGGCATTTTCATTGACTTTCCTGCTTATGCTGTTTATAACAAAAATATTTATCACAACTTGGGCTATTACTAACTAACTAGATTTAAAAAGATCGATTATATGGGCGGGACTTGAACCGGCATACACAACGGCCCGTTCTGCTGATTCAATGATAATAGTATGACAATGGATTAGAGCAGCAGCAAGTCGATGTTCTCCAACGTAAATAGTTTTTTAATCTGTATATAATTATTTTGTGTTAAACCTGGTTTTAGAACTAACTTAGTTATACCCTTTTCAGGATTACGAAGTTTCTTACCTGTATTTGGATTGACCCACAGCTCGAAAACAAGTGAATCATGCCCGACAGAGAACACATGAAGTTCTTGTGAGCTTAGTCTCTCTTGTCGTTTGTGTGCAGCGCCTTCTTCGTGCCACTCCTTCTTCTCTTCTTAAAACATAAAATACTATTTAGACAGGGCAAACTTTCGAATTATCTGGTAACCGTGTGAAAAACATTCCCATTTTTAACGAGTTTTCAAGTTTTAATGGTAATTAATATCAATCTTCTTCCCTTTATTTTCGTTCTTAAAAATGCCACATATACGTGTAACCTTCCTTTTGAGGAGGTATGTTTTTAATTAAATGGTCGAAATTACCTTGCGGAGTGAGTGCCAGCCACATAACTAGTCCAAAACCTTGTAGCCAAGGCGCCCAACCAGCGGTTTCGAGACTGCACCTCACCGCTCCATTGCTCCACGGCGAAATTATTCCTATTAACGTGTTGATTTAATATAGTCTGTTATTGTACACGAAGGTATTATATAAATTAAAAATCAGTTTCAATTTGAAAAATTCGACGACACGAAATGGACTTAAGCGTTCCGTCCTGCATCTCTAATTGAGCTACCGTGTCCAATTTGAACCTTAACCTTGGGCTCAATTCCTTATACTTTGCAGCTTAAGGAACCATTCAATATGAAATTACACGTTTCAACGTACGAAAAATGTAATACTTTCATAATTATAAGAAACGTCAAGTCTTGAGTAAAAATGATAAAATTCGCGTTTTAAGTCAATAAAAAAAAATTACAATAGAAACTAAATACGTTAATTTTCTTGTTAAAAACTCTAGGCTTACTATTTAATGCTATAGTGTCATAAAATTAACGGTACCTGCTCGCAAATGTTTATATCTTATACGTCGCGCGCTCGTCTCCGCTTGCTGGTTCACGGCACCGACCACTTCTTCGTATACGGGCTCTTCGCCTGAAATCAAAATGTATCAAGTATTGTGGTATACGCAAGTAGAACTCATTTAAATGAAACATTTCTAACGGTTTAGTTAGGGACCTTTAAGTTATATTAATTACCATGACATTTCGGATGACAGCAGGCGTGGTCACCATATTCAATTAAACAAAAATATCCAATATATAATTCCCCGTTATACTAATACATATCGCGTTTTAAACCGCTTGAACTGTTTTATTTAAATGTATTAATATTTATAAAATTTATAGCTTTGAAAAAAACATTTTACTACCATAGCCTTCTGTCATATGGCACCTCAATTGAAGCAACAGCATTGAATACTGTAGCCGTGGAATTGAGTAACTACCATCTATATTTAAAAATCGAAATTAAATTGAAAAAAAAATTTCGACTTGGGGCAGGATTTGAACCGGCGTAGTCAGCGTTCCGTGCTGTTGCTTTGCCAATTGAGCTACCGAGGATTTTTCTTTTTTTTTTTTTAAATTAAATTCAATTTTTAAATTATATAGTGCCTTCATGTGCAAATAACATGTGAAAAATATGTTTTCAAATAACATCTATATTGTTTGCACAACTAAAATGTGAAAACTTGTCTTTCCACATTTTCCTCTTTCTTCGCTCCTATTGGTCGCGGTAGTCTAAAGATTTCCTCAACAACTGCAACCCCAAAAGCGCACCAAAAAACTCTTCACTTATATAATATAGATAATTGATCTACCTGTATGATGAACTGTAGCGGTGATCTGTACTTCACAGTCTGGTTGGGGCTCGTTACGTGCAACTAGGCGTGCTAGGGCCCGACACAGCGAGCTGAGGGGCGCATTCGAAGCACTAGCGAGTCGGAAAATACTCGCTAACTCACAAGCTTCCATGCTCTGAGATCCGAGTTTAACTATCAACTCGATTATACTCCGTTGAAGTTCTACAAGGAAATTAAACAATTAACTTACATAAACATAAGCGCGTCGAGTATGATTGAGCAGCAAGCAATTTTTTTTTGACAGACAGGCGATGAGATAAACTCGATAGAAGACCAAATACCCCAGCAAAACTGTTCGGAAAGGAAGTCAGGTTATGACATGCTCGTAGGGTATAGCTAATAATCAATGGGTAGTCGGTTTGATCCCTACTGGGTCCAGATTTTTTCCAGAAATAGCTCTTTCCCCCACGTTCTTATATAGGATGCGAGATTTCACTTTCCAAAGGGAATTAAATTATACATCCCCTTAAAGTCCTTGTCGTAACAGTCAACGTCAAATTTCTTTAACGATTACTGAATCTGCAAAGCGTAAGACTGAACATAAAGAAAGATTTAACCTCAATGCGTAGGTGTTAAGGTTCAAATTACATTGCCTGTAAAAATGTATTTTTGTTGATGTAATGTGGCGAGGACGTGTAGGACACGGGAGCTCAAGTTATAAGTACCCAATCATTAATACCTGCATGTGTGTGCGAGCTCTTAGCAAGTAAGGTAGCCGCCGGTGCATGCTGAGCGAGGAGTCTGTGCAGAAGCCGCGGGGGCGCCAGTCCGCTGCCCAGCCGTGCTACGCATGCACGTGCAACGCTGGCGCACACACGTTCAATTTCCTCACCACCCGTCACCATCACACCCCGAACCTCTTTCCCTTCCTTCTCCTTGCCATCTTCTTCCTCTAATAATCTATAAACAAAAAATGTTTTTTAAATAATTGCATTGATGAATTTGTTAATTGATGAACACGTTATCAAAGTAAGATACTGGACTTAATAATTTAAGAGTTTCAAAATTTTTCATGTTCTTTACATACTGTCTATAGTTTACGCGAGTAGTACATATTTAAATTAAACACTTCTAACGGTTTAACACGCGAAATTTATTAGTTCAATTATTAAAACTTTTGTTTTGAGTACGTGACAGACGTGGTCACGGGGGGACTGAAGATGGAGTTTATTCTAATATCAAAGTAAAAAAATGCGACATGGTAGCTCAACGAAAGCTCAAACGGTTTACCAATTGAGCTACCATGTCCTAACGTCATGTCCATCCTGGCACATGCATCTCCCATTGATAGTGAGGTTCTATGCCAAAGCTTTGCAGCTTAAAAATCATTGCAAATGCAATTACAGATCATCGTATGCATCGTAATAACACGTGAAAAATATTATACTAACTTATCAATCAGCTGGGCGAGTATATCCACCACTATTATACATAGCTCCGGATGTGTTAACTCCCCATTTCTGTTATATTCCGGACATTCCTTACTGATTGCCTCTATACAGTTATCTCCTGAAATAAAAGTAAGTATTTGAATTAAAAATCGATCAAACTCGGGCAGTACTCGAACCGGCATCCACAGCGTTCCATGCTGTTGTTCTAATCAATTGAGCTACCGAGTTTAGTACATATTTGAGTCATATAAAAAACAATAAATCTTTGAAATTAAGACTGCTGGCTTAGTGAATAGTATATAGTAGACACTGACATAGTTCTTCAATTAAGCTAGTCAATAAATACACTTAAGCTTATGTCATAAGTGTGTATATCATATATATAAATATACCACGAGCACAATATTTACCTGATACATAGCTAAATATAGAAGAATCGGAGAGTTTTCTGGTTTTAAACATATTTGTCACCTCCGGTATGCTCAGTTCTACATCTGCCTGTGAAAGAAAATATCTTGTTGTATTTATTATTACATAAACAATTACACGAAGCGAATTGTAAACTATACTAATAGATAAAGCTGAAGAGTTTGTTTGTTTGAACGCGCGAATCTCAGCAAATACTGGTTCTAATTGAAAAATGATTTTTGGGTCAGTTAGAGTATTTATCGACGAAGGTTACAGGCTATAAATCGCGCTGCGACTAATAGGAGCTAAGGAACAGCGGGCGATGTGAAAAAAACGGGGAAAAGTAATCATCTTTGTGAGTTTCCGTTGCGTAGAAAGTAGAATGTCCGCGACACTATACGTCGATCTTTTAATATTAACTTGCAAGAACGACGGGACGCGACCGACGTCGTGGGTAACAGCCCTAATTGTTGTTTCACATACTGAAATCCAATTACGTGGTGGTAGTAGCAGAGACCCCAAAATAATTTAAGGTCTTTCTCATTCTAAATTCCGCAAATTTGAAGTGTCCACGACATAAACGAAAAGGCGTGATAATATTAATAATTAGCTTTTCTATTTTTTTAGCTGATCTGGCAAAGATTCTTTTACTATACCTACGAAGTATTTCGACCAAAATTTGATTGCCAAAAAACGGTTCTTGTCAGTTAATTTTAAAAGATATACATACATATACTGTGCCAGGGCATTGTTGTACTTATTTGAAGAAGAATAATTTTATACATATATTTTGGGTATCTTGAATCCTTTTCGCAGTCACGTAACGGAAAGTTTAAAAGATGAACAATTTTCCCCGTCATTTCCATACTTCCCTCTCTTTCTTCGCTCCTATTGGTCACAGTCGAAAGCTTTCGTTAAATGCTCCAACCAACATAAAAATAAATTTTCAGTTTGAACCAGTAGTTCCTGAGATTAACGCCGTTAAATAAACAAACTCTTTAGCTTTATTATTATTATTAGAGATGCAACGGATATCCGGTTACTATTCGGTATCCGGCCTATCCGGCCATTATTTTACTATCCGGCCGAATACCGGATAGTTGCGCACTATTCGGCCGGATACCGAATAGTGATTCTGTTTGCTATTTAACTTTGAAAAATGTTAGTATGCATAATACAAAAATTGATAATTGATAAATTACCAATATTCGTTTATTAGTTAAAAAATCGAAAATAAATTGAAAAATTTTTTCGACTCGGGCAAGACTTGAACCGGCATCGTCAGCGTTCCGAGCTGTTGCTCTACCAATTGAGCTACCGAGTCCCTCTCGCGTAATGTAATTTCAACCTTAACACATGTGTATTAAGGTTCAACGTCTTACGATTTGCAGCTTAAGAAATCGTCGAACATCACGGAACGCTGATGGTTCATTTCCTGCCCGAGTCAAAAAATTTTTCAATTTCTTTTCGATTTTTAAATTATATATTGCCTTCATGTGCTATAACATGTAAAGAATAATAAAGTTTTCATTCGTTTATTAGTTTTAACGTACAATTTAAACTTATCAAAATCCATTCAACCAATGGTAGCGTATCGTATGTTAATTTTTAATCAAATAAAATAAGAGTTACCATATAAATAAAAAGAGAGAACAATACGTAACAGGTTGAAACTTGCACGACGCGCGTCGCCAAATTAAAATATACATAGATATCGTTTGGCTGGCCGAATATTCGGCGGCCGGATACCGGATATTCGGCCAGTCGTAAGGCCGAATATCCGGTATTCGGTATCCGGCCAAACAACTATCCGTTGCATCACTAATTATTATATTAAAACTAATGATTTGCATAGATTTGATAAAACGATGACAGAGGCCCGCTTACATAGGATTTTCAAAGAGTTTAATGATCAACAAAAACGGTTACCTTACAATGGCAAAATAATCTATTAAAAAATCGATACATATTCCACAATAAGTAAACACACCACTTTCTATAAGACCACAATTACAATGGCCTCATTTCATTCGAGTTATGCTAATTTAGGCAAAAACTGTTATGCACTTACAGCTTTTAAGTGATAAGATAAGGGACACTTAGACGTGAGGTTTACTGTTTCGCTAAAAAGGAAAGGAATTGATCTAATATCTTAAACTTATGTCATAATAAATATAAATGCTTTTGTTTACGGGATAGGACAAACGAGTTCTTCATAACAGGAAATGCCATATAGCGTCCAATCAAGATGTGTTGTCAATCTATTTTAGCCTTGATAGTTCAATGCTAAAACCGTAACGTGACTTTTAAACTTCAATTTCCCATCTTTTCGTAAATTCTTTTTGATTTAGGATTCCGATATTACTACCATCCGTTTAATATCCGTGGTTTAAATTATATACAAAAATGTTGGTTGGGAATCGAATCCACTAATGGTTATTAGACTACCACTAGCTCAACAACAAATAATTATAATAATTACTTCTATCATAGTCAAATGTCAAATCTATACTTATATTATAAATGCGAAACTGTGTCTGTCTTCTGTCCGGCTATAACGCCGAAAGTACTGAAAGGATTTAAATAAAATTTCGTACACAGATATTTTAGAGCCTGAGACATACTGTCTATAGTTTACGCGAGTAGTACACATTTAAATAAAACACTTTAAGGGTTAAAAACGCGATATATTAGTTAAACTTATTGAAATGATTTTTAACGTGGCCACGGGGAGGTGGTCCCCCACGGCTGCTGCAAAGCATCCGAAACGTCGGGCCGAAGTTAAAAATCATTTCCAAATAAGTTTAACTAATACATCGCGTTTTAAACCGTTAAAGTGTTTTATTTAAAAGCCTGAGACATACTGGTTTGTCTAATGGTAGCAATGTACTGCTAAAAATAATTATCAACGGTTCGTGGGTTCGAGTACCTACGGGCCAAATATATTTTTAATTCCTCTGAAACATATAAGACTTCGTCTAGATATTAAATCAGTGGAAAAAATATCTAAAATGTTGTTTGTAGATTCCAAATGTCTAAACCTAAAATAAGTCGATAACACTTCATGTTTGGATGTTATATGACACATGATCTGAGTCCCTGTTACAGTTCTCTTCTGACATAAAAAAGTGACTCCTGACCTCATATCCTTCGTCTGATCTATCAAAAGATTCGCTCTGCTCACTCGGCTCCACGTAGGGGGCACAGACACTTTCCTCGCTCGAAGAACACTCTGCGGAACTACCGCTGGAACCATAGGATAGAGATGGTATCTGGAAAAAAAGCAAATCTTCTTAAATAACCTACAGAATGCCTATTTCTAGTGTAATAGTTGATGAGACTTATGTAAAATACTGTCTGCAATTTACACGAGTAGTAGACAATTAAATAAAACACTTATTAAAACGCGAAATATTTTAGTTACAAGCCTCCCCGTGATTACGGCTGCTGCAAAGCATTTAAAACGTCGCACCGTAGTTAAAATAATTTGTAAATAAGTTGAAATAATATAAATCGCGTTTTAAACCGTTAAGGTGTTTTATTCAGACTTATAAACCCTGTTAGAACTCTCGCATTTAATTCTAGAGAACGCGTTGAAATATTGAACCATGGAATAGTAACAACGCAATGTATAAAATTAATTCAAATTGACCGTTAAATAAAGTAAAAAACTGTCATTTTTTGTAGAGCGTAGTAAAAAAAACATAAATCTCGATGTGACTTGGCACGTGTAGAATTTATTTTCGTAGAAACCTTGCATTATTATATATTTATACGAGATGTATTTAAAAATTTGCATACCTGACAAATAGATTGAAAAGTGTCGAAATTATGCACATCTGCCTAGGAGCGGATCCAATCAAATGCATTGATAAATAGTTTTCATCTAAGTTCACGAGTTATCAGACCAATAATAATTTAATAGTTCTGAGAATAGAGAAATTGTTATCGTGCTGCACAGTCGAGAGAATGAAAGTATTTATTTTCACTATAAACAGTTATTTTGCCTACATTAATTTTATATTTACTTGTTTTTTAGATTACGCTTTTCTTATGTATTTAGTTGGTAATCCTCTTTGAAATAAATAAACAAATTAATACCTTCTTTCACTAAAACGTAAAGGCACTTGCCCGCCATGAACCAAACCATGGGATGCCTCACGGAACAGCCCATTGGAAGTGGCATAGAACAAAATTATGGTGTCGCCCAACGTAGACAAATTAACCATCTTTACTAATATTATAATGCTGAAGAGTTTGTTTGTTTACACTTTACACGCAGAAAAGGGAAAATTTAATATCTGTATGGGTTCAAGGAACCAAAAATGTGTATGATAGAATGATTCACAAAAACGATGGGACGCGGACGTCATGGTTAACTGCTAAAATTTTTAAAGCGTATTTCCAAACATAAACCAAGTGCCCAAAATATCTATTTTACTCGGACGAAGTTGCGGGCATATCATAGAATACTAAATAAAATTAATTTGAAAGAAAGTAGTCGGGTCAACGTCCAAATACTAATAAGATAATCTAGAACTGGTCGATAATTTTTAATGCTATATATGGAATTCCAAATACCTCCACGTGATCTTTAGCTTAGCATAAACCGCAGCATATGATACAAGGTAAGGGCGGGCGTCCACTGCTGGAAGGTAACCGTCACTGTGACAAGTGGCGTCTTGCTGCCACACTTCAATCGTTTGACCCTATCTCTGTTCCGCGACATGCCAAACATTCCGCGTTGCATTGCTTCGGCAATGTAGTATCAAAATTAAATATACTTCACTGTCATTATTATAGCATTGAAATAAGATTCAAAATTAAATAACTATTTACTTCTGTCGACATACGAACAAAACGTTTACTTCATTGATATACTAACTGGACATATCCATTCACTCTAGCCTGCATTTCAGTAGATATTATTTTGTGTATACACTTGTATAAATCACAAATTATACATAAGTTAGATGTGTAATTCTTTAAGTTCACAATAAGAGAAAGAAAAGAATTTGTACAAAACTTGGAAAAGAACCACGACACAGGCTTACCCTAGGGTGGGGACTTGGGACACTTTGTCAGCACCATGTATGTATATTGAAACAATACAGAATATTGAATTTGAATAAAACACTTTAACGGTTCAAAACGCAATATATATACGTTGAACTTATTTGAACTTTATTTAAACTACGGTCCGACGTTACAAATAAGTTTAACTAATATATATCGCGTTATTAACCGTTAGTGTTTTATTTAAATGTGTACTACTCGCGTAAACTACAGACAGTATTTATTGAAATTGAATTTTAACTTTGTCATTCAGTGTGCGCTGGCCCTATAAATTAACTTACGTATTCTAGGTATAAACTGTTTGCTTAGAACATTAAGCTTCTTATATATAAATCCAATATTAACCACGTGTATATAAAAAGTATTGGCTCTAACCATTCTTTATGTAACATATTGTTTTGACGGGATGGTTGATTTAATACTTGCAATGTGTGGCTAATAAGTAACGGGGCATGGGTTTGATCCCCACCAAGTCCAAAAAGTTTCTAATAAATTTATAATTGTTCTGAAACATATTGGACTTCGTCTGAAAATCTGGATATTACACCAGTGGTAGGTATATAAGAATTCCGTCCAGGCTACGAACCCACCGTCCGAAAATGAAAAAGCCGTTGTTTAATTGCGTTTCGGTTGAGTCTGTAGATTAGATATGTAGATAGAAGTTAATCTTAGAAGATAGACATATAGCGAGACTATTTTTAGATCATGTAAAGAGGAATCATTCTTTCTTTTTGCAGCGAACACCTCGGAAACCCATAATGATGAATAATTTTTGAATTTTTTTTCACATTTCTTGCTGTAGCTTCGCTCGTATTAGTCACGTCGCAACATATTATATCCTATGTCCTTCCTTAAAAGAACCTTTCATTCGAACTCGTAGTTCCTGAGTTTACCGCTTTCAAACATACAAACAAACTTTTCAGCCTTATATATTAAATTTGTCATAAGTATAAAAGCAGATACAGAAGTACATACATACAATACACATTCTCTTTGATCTAGCTTGCACGTCACGCGATGGGGTCACGTGTCACACGCAACAAACGCCTTGACAAAGGCATTCTACTAAATAACTATTACATGGTATTCAATAATGTGAAGTTTAACGGTTACGGGGGACACCACTGCTGCAAGGCATCCGAAAAGTCGAGCCGTAGTTAAAATGTATCGTGAATAAATTAACTAATACAGTTCGCGTTTACAAAGCATTGTAAGTGTTTTATCTAAATTCCATCTTCATAATTATCATTAACTAGCTGTGCCCGCGACTTCGTTCGCGTGGAATAGTGACTTGGGGTAGAATATTTAATTATTTAGGCTGTTTATTATTTATGTAATTGCGCATTTATCGCAGCCAATCTATGTTGTAAGTGCTATTTTGCCGCAACACTCTCACCTCAAATCACTCCCACTCCTCCTATTGCCAAAAAGCCAAAGAAGAAAGTTTATTTTCTAGCTTCAAAAACCTCCATACAAACTTTCATCCCCCCCCCTTTAACCCCTCACAACTTCCTTTTCACAATAAAAAGTAGCCTATGTCTTTCTCGTTTAGACCTGTTATCAAATTTCATTCAAATCTGTTCAGTAGGTTTCGCGTGAAAGAGTAACAGACAGACAGACAGAGTTACTTTCGCATTTATAATATTAGTAAGGAACTACCCTTATATTAAAACCTGTCTGTATAATTACTAACTAATACTTATTTTAACAGTAATTGGCAAACCGAATAGAACAAGTGTTATCTCTTTATCTGTGATTTATTTTATTTTATAATAAAAGAAACAATCATAAATTAAATTAGGTTTCTCAGAGGCACTGTATGGGGTGTGCGCGCCCCCTGGTGTCAGGTAACGAAACGCGAGAACTGTGGCTAGACCAGACCGCAGTCTAACGTGACTATTTCACACGTTACTTGAGTGGGAACTAACGAGGAAATACATGTGAGATCACATAATGATTTTAATATAATGTTTCGCACAACACAACACATCAATCACATTTTTTTATAATAAAATAATGAAGGTTCTTGAAACTTTTAAAACACCAGCAGAGTGTTCAGAGAAGACTGGTTTCCGATAGTGCTCGAAGAGTGATATAATTTATTTCGTACATTATAATTATTTTCTTTTAGGAACAATGATGGAAGGCTGGGTTATCAGTCTACTGGATGGTCTCCAACTAAATGAACCGACGACCTGGTCAAGATGGGTTCCTGGAAGTCCTGGACTCAAGCAGGAAACGACTAGTTGTACTGGAAGTATTTGGGGGTGGCCTAAGTCCAGCAGTGGACACCGAACGGGTAAAACGTAAGTCTCAGTACTGGAAAAAAAACACTTCTTTTACATTTGAGAGGGTTTTAATAGGTTAGAACCATCACATAGCTTCATTGTGGGTAGGCGGTTTTCAACGACTACCGTCACTGAATCAGTGGTGGTAACCTTGTGGAGAATGGCCTTCTACTTTTAAACTTTCGAGGTGGTACTAAAAATTTCCATTTTTCCGATCAATGTCCTATTTTCATTTTAAGGATTCGAACCCTGGCTCGTAGTCTGCATTCGAGTGCACTGAGCAAGAGACCAACGAGGAAGTTATGCATAACATAGTTATGTAAATTCATATTTGTGTGGGTAAGTTAAGAGTGTGTCATAAATTAATTATAAAGATTGCACAATATAAGCTAATATTATCCAAGAATCTTTATACCTTACTATACAGGAGGTTAATAAATAAGACGAGAAATTATTAAACACATTTGAAAAATTTAGATTAAAAAGAACAACATGGTCAGTTTTTTACTAAATTTTAGTGACTAACATATACATGTGATGGTTTAAGAATGGGTCAATGGTCGGATAAATATATAATAATTAATTAAACAGTGTTTAACACTACTTGTAAAATCTAACACCAATTGTCTTGTATGAATTTCTTATGTAATCTTAGGTCGCAAGCTTAACTGGTGTAACTGGTGTACACAAATTCAATATTGTATACTTTACTTGCAAAAAAGTTATTAATTTGGATTTTGTTGTATACTTTATATTATTGACGACAGACGAAGACGGAGATATTTAAATAAATCACTTTTAACGGTTCAAAACGCGTGTCGAGTTACAGCAGCCTTGCTCACGTGGTAACGTCGAGCTGTAATTAAATATATTGTAGAAAAGATAACTAATACAATTAACGTTTTTAA